ATCCCCAAACGCCCCTGCCAACCCCAACGGTGCCGTAAAGGCTTCGGAGTTCCCACTAGGACCTTCATATTTACTGCAAGGAACCGTCAAGCCAAGCGTTCGTCTTCTGTAGCTGAAGTTTTGGGCCATCTTTGGGCTTTCTGGGCAACCACTCCTGCCACTGCAGGACTGGGCACTTAAGTCTGGCTCTGGCAGTGTGAAGTCTTCATGCCCTGCTCYGAGTAGTGATTCCAATACCCGCTTCTCTATGAGCCTCTCGGAAAAACAAACAAAAAGAGTCTCCCCTTCCTCCCCCTCACATTGTGTCCTACCTGCAGGAGGCTGAAATCAGCCCTGCAGGAGCAGAACACCTAAACACCCAGTGAAGCAACCCGCCCTGCTCAGGCACCGAGGAGACAGCGTTTCAGCACGCTCCGTGTTGGGAAACGCCTGCCCCGAACASCTTGTTCCCGTCGGGCCGCTCTGACAGCCCCAGCTCCCCGCACGCGTCTTTTCCGAGGACCGTCACCACTCGAGAGCCCCCATCCATCACTTCCAGCCAAGTGTCCCGTCACCACCAGACACTCCAGCCAGAACACAGGTCCGTTCTCACTGGGGAGGGACACAGCACTGTGCAGAGCTGGATCTGAACGGTGTGAGGCTTGGAGAGGATCCGTCTGTAATTGGTGATTGCCGGCAGCACAGACCTGCCCCGGTGAATTAACGTGCTCCCTGTCCACGCAAGCCAATGCATGAGACGRTGCAAAGAGACCTAAGCCAGGAAGCTCCCGTGGGTCCGCACAGCGTTTGCTGGTGCGCGGCAACCCGGCACGACAGGCTGACTTCCCTCGCACGGGAGCTTCAGACACTGCAGGCAAAGAGCCACAAAAGCAGCCGTGTTCGACAGGCGGGGAGGTGCCTGGGACCAGGGATCCCAGCAGCAGCACTCGGGTCCCAGCGAGGGCTGGTGAAGGGTCAACCACGAACGTTTTGAAACTCGGCTCCTCTTTGTCCCTGCTAAGGAAAGACCCCTGTGTTTGGTGGTATCTTCTTAGGCTCCTTCTTAGAAATACATCAACACACRTAGAATCACAGAATGATTAAGGTTCTTCCTCACRTGGAGATGGAACTTGCTGTGTTCCAACTTGTACCCATTGCCCCTTGTCCTATAACCAGCCACCACTGAGAAGAGCTTGGCCCCTTCCTCCCTACATTCCTCCTTCATGAGCTTAGACATATTAATCAGWTCCCCTCTCAACCTTCTCTTCTCCAGAGGAAACAGGGCCAACACATTTCCTGGGAGCACAAAAATCCCTTGTCAGGTCTCAACCAGCATGGGGAGGATGGGGATCTTGTCTCTAAAGTCCCTAAAAACACTGTTTTCACCACTGAACTGCACCAGGGAAATCAGTCTCCCTACCCTGCGTTGACCATTCCCACCCAGGCCAACACTAATCACGGGCACTAGTTCCAGCAATGCACAAGTTGGGGTTTTGCCCTTTCAAGCCCTGCTGCCAGGAGGTGCCTCTGTTGACTTCTCCTGCCCAAAAGAGCCATATCCATTTCCCAGCTCTGGGGACAGATCCATGAGGGCTTCCACAGGTGTTCTGGGCAGTGCTCCCAAGCGGCAGGAGCACCAAGACCAGCCCAAATGCCCATATGCAGAAGGGGATGTCGAGGTAACCAGCACCCGGCTGAAGGATGAGGTGAACACGTTACCTCCCCCTGGAAAAACAAAGTGTTGAAAGGAAAGAAGTTGGCAGCTAAAATTGGAATACTTGATCTTTATATCCCCTTGGTTTCAAGCACACCCACCCGTTCCTGCTTCCTTGATGTCACCAGGCCACTTCTGATCTTTGATAGCTGAATGAGCGTGTTTGTGCTGACGTACATGCCAACAACTAAATATAAAGTATGGGAACACAGCCAAGCGCGCTGGGAGACTTGCTTGGGCTTGTTTTCAGCTGGAAATCAACGGCTACAAAACAGCACAATAAACATCTAGAAAGTTGGGCAATTTTCACTGGTGTGTTTGAACTTTTCAGGCCTCACGGTTTAGAGCTTTTAGGAGAGACTCTTTATTTGTGTTGTTTAAAGGCTCCTGCTAGCACTTTCCCCGCTTTGCTCTGCTGCCTGTGAAAAGAGTCCTATGGATTCAGCAGAGCATTCCCAATCCAATGGGGCCYGCAGTGACTCCCCTTTTAGGTTTAAGTTCCCATACGAACCTTTTAACTSCCTCACGGAGGCTTCAAAGGAAGCATCTCCCTTCCCCGGGAATTCCTGGAGCGTCTCCCGCTCATGTGTGGACAGTCCATTAAATAACGCGGCGCCTGCCGCAGAGCCCAGCGCTTCCAGGCAGGACGCGCCATGTCCAGCCCCCTTGGTGGGAAAGGGACGGGAAACAGAGCTTAGAAATAGGCCTGGGCGAGAAATAAACAATCCCAGTTCACGTAAAACTAGGAGTTTGAAATAAGAGCTTTGCTTACAAAAAAACCCAGAAAGTCTCGTAACTGCCCGGGGGGGCAGCGGGCAGGAGTCTCCCTGGGGATGCTTGAGGCCAACAATAACATCCACATGCTGAGTTTTGGGAAAGGATCGTGGAATTATTGTCACCCCCTTCGAGATTACGTGGGTAAGACTTAGGCGGGCAAGAGAAAACAAAGCTGTGAGCCATTTGTTCTGCTAAAATAGCACAAATCCCGCAGGGAAATGTTTAATCCAACGTAGAAGTACCCAAATCTCATCGCTCCTCCCACGCTTCATCTGGAAGTCCGCTGCTTATACGGCAATAAGCTCCCCAGCTCTAACGATAAAATAAAGCTGGCTAAATAAATCAGGAAATAAATCATGTTTTTAACCATTGGCTTGCATGAAAACAACAGTAACAACTGACACTCATCCCCTCGCCTTTTAATATCGGCACTGGATGCCTGCATCAGGGACTAAATTTTCAACAGGCTGATCCTGCAAATTCTAAAACCTGGTTTCTTGCCTCAAACGTCACCCTCTGTGGGAAGCAGACACCAGCGCTTTCCCCTCCGAAGGGCAGGGCTGCTAGAACGGCACGTGGCAAACGCTGCACTGGGACCCCGCAGCAACAGAAACGTTATCAGGTTCAGAAAATACACAGGCCGCTAACAATTTCAAATCAATTTTATTTTCTTAAATTGGTGTTATACGATTTAAAGCCAAAAAAAGTCACACAAAACACAAATTAAAAAAAAAAAAAAGTCGACAAAGTATCAAGCATTACCTTATAAAGAACAACATCATACGCTCTCATAAACCTGAAGATACGCGTTATTAGACTGAGGTTTCTTGAAATCTAATAAAGACGCTACACACAAACGCTGCAACAGTAACAAAGCCATGACAATAGCAAGTGGACTACGCTAGCAACTTCAACCATGTTTTTCTCTCTTTTTTATTTATTTATTTTTTTTGCATTCCTTGTTGTCTACAAAGCAATAAATATTTTTTCACCAAAAAAGTTGGTTTCACGCTACATGCAATTAGATAAAAAATAAAGTCACCAAAGTGATGGCAAAATAAATCACCTGTCTGATTTTTTTTTTCATTTTTTCATTTTTTTTTTTTTTTAATTCAAGCACAGTGGCTAAGTTTCAAGTATTGAGAGAAAACATATATATATACACATGTATGTGTTTGCGTGCGTACATGTACATACACACACATACACACACGTCGAACTGTATGTATATACACAAACACATACATATATATATTGGTTGTAGGTCTGTAAACCACAATTGTTTTTGGAGCAATATATATTGGTGTACATTGAATGTGGACAATTTTGGTACATTCAAGTAGTTAAGTACAGCTGGAAGGTTAGTGCTGAGCTTGCCAYGTACATGGATCGTTGAACCTGCAGCACGGACAAGTCCTGGGCTCTTCTTCTCCTTGGCTGGAAGGTACCGGGGCYGCGGGGCATCGGGGGGCAGAGGCCTTGGTGCTCTCGTCCTGCGGGACCTGCAGGAAGCCCTTGCCGAGCTGGTAACACCCTTCTGGAAGCAGCTTAGGTCTCTTTGACATTTTTGGCCACAGGCTGGGGGGTATTTTATTGTTTTTCTTTTCTATATTGTTTTTTTTTTTCTATATTTGCTTTTTTTAGGCACAAGCACAAGCCACAGAAGCAGCGGGTTGTGAAGGGAGAATGTAACGGAGACCTGATACTGAGGAATTTCGGTGAGCTGCACTCTGACTTCCCTGTATCCAAAGTATTTTTTAATTTCATTATCAGCGTTCCCGCTCTCCGATGAGAAACATCCACGTTGCCGAAGATGATGCCAGCTCAGAAGTCAACCAAGTCGCTCCTTGGAACCCCCGCAACGTATCCCACGGACCRTGCAAAAACGGCGAGGAAAAAAAAAGCCATGAGGACTTAACCACCGTGTGCAAAACATTATTAGATCCCCAAAAACAAAGCCTGAGGTTTTCGAGTTGCTTTCCAAGATCCTTTTCTGCCCAGCGCTAACAAAATACTGCCACGACTCTGATAAGTTAAGACACACACATGCGCCCGCGGCCGGCGGGGAAGGCGGCCAGCTCCCCGCGCGCCCGCCCACAGCACCCCAGCTCACCCCGCACTCCAGCCACGCACACCCACAGTCTCATTTGGCTACAGAGGCTCTTCAGAAGAAATGCTGAACATAAAACCGAACACTACAAGATTTCTTTATAAAAAGTAAGCAGCAAATAAAACCTTTTTTTTTTTTTTTTTCTTAAAAAAAGAAGAATGCGTCTCCAATTGTAATGTGTAGGATCTTAACGCCTGTTCTTGAGCTCTTAAAAAGCAAGGAGCTTTATATCGACTGTCCTTAAAAGAACACTTAAATAAAATACAAAACAAAAATTATCTTGGTACTGCCAGACTGCAAGTCAGCTTTGCCTGGTGTGGAGGAGGAATCGCACGGACTCTGCCGTGCTTTTTGCCTCACACTCACGAGATACAGTACAGTTAAATACATACAGTTACACACAAACCCTATATATCAACATATATTCACCCTTAGGAATACATATCAATATACGCACACACGTAGTGCAATCGAACAACCAGGAAGCGAGGGAAGGAATAAGAAGAAGCGCATTCCTAACAGTCGTGATGCTCCTGGGTTGTCGTGTGTTGCAAAGTCAACTTCTCAAAGTTCCCACAGTGTGTAAAGTGCTCCTTTGATTCACAAAGCTAGTGTTTTCAGGTCGGGGACAGGGGGGACGGGAGAGGGGCTCTAACCAACAGCTGAAAGCAGGACAGCGCTCGTGCTTCCTYGGGCAGATATGTACGGAGAGGCTGAGCTGAACAGCCCGCAGTTTTAACCCTGGTCCCGCTGAGCGCAGGGACCAAGGAGGATGTTTGGGCTTCTTGCGGACGCGGGGACGTTTTGTGGCGCGTTGGCTTCTTGTTTCCCGGGCAGAGMCTCTGTCCCTGCGTCGTCTGTCCACCCCGTGGGGGGCTTGGGCTGTGCCGGCTGCACCACGTCCCCAGCCCCGCTCAGCCTGCAGATACGGGGAGCTGCTCCAGCCCTACRTGGAGCCGAGTCCCCCTCTCTGCCACGCAGCAAGAGCTCCAAGGCAAAACCATGGAGGGGAAGGGGCTGGGAGGAGAGGGAGGGGAGCCTCGGCTTGCCAGGAAGCGCTAAGGTGCCTGGCTCTCAGCTGGGCTAGGGGAAAGTCACAAACTGGCCTTGATTTCTGAACGACACCCTCCAACGTTAACTGAAGCCAGCAGTTTCAGCACATCCATTGCCCGCAATGGAAACAGCACTGGAATACCCTGTTCTTAAACAAGAGGGATAGGCAGTCTTTTCCTTCAAAGTGCTGGGAAGAAGTGGAATTATATCCTTCATCCCCCTCTGCCAACGAGGGAAACCTTTCCACATCAYCTATGTCTTCACCCAGGCTTTTGGGCAGGGAAGTTTTGTGCTCGCTGCAGTCACACATATCCACAAGGGACTCGGAGTCTGTGGCACAACTTCCCAAAGCCTCCAAATACAGAGCATTGAGCAGTTCACCCTCCAGGTCTCCTCCCGCCAGGATCATTTCTTGCCACAGCAGCAGGTGTTGGAAGCAGAAAGTGATCAGCTGGGGTGAGATGTGTGGGGGGGATGAACCTTGAGATCAGGCGCAGAACCCCGACAGCAGAGCCGAGAGCCGCCGCTCGATGCACAGTTTGCCTGGGAGAGAAAGACACCGAAAATCAACTTTTCATTTTCCTAGCACTGTAAGTACTTATTCCAGGTGAGGYTCTAACCAAAAACACTCCACTGAGGGGTGGAATAATCAGAACTCTATCAAAGAAAACCAGGAGGCAGAAGTTCCAATGGAAGCATCAAGATGCTGTGAAGGATCACTGTCTGCCACCACCAGTTTATCCATTTTAAGTTAAAGGAGTGACTTCATCAGCAGCTAAGGTGGCTCAAGGTCTCAATGACCTTTGTCATGGCTTAAATCAGAGAGAACAAGCACAGCCCAGCCTGGTCAGTGCCAGATTCCTGTCTGCACCAGCCCAGGAACACTATTTCAAAAGCTTTAAGTTTGCTGGAACTCGTTCCTCTACCGTGAAGGCTTTCTCATTTCCAAGTTCATTACCTTACTTTTGAGAAACAAATAACACACACATGTATCAGATATAAAATGGAAACCAAACCTACTAGAGCCTACCAGGCAGCAACTCAGTCAGGAAGTGGGATATCAGTGGGGGGAAGAAATCTATTAGGGGCATGAACCAGGAATTTGTATCTCCGGACAAAAGATGTGCCTTAGGTTTGTAAAAAATGGTGCCCTGGAAGCTGCTTAGCATCTCCTATAGACCCCATGCAGTGCTGTACACTCTGCTCTCCTTGGCTGAGCCTCGGGCCGGTGTTAAGGCTGGTGATAATTAACTGCCTGATTGCCTGGGAGGCAGAGCTCCCACCTCAGCACCGATCCGAGGGCTGTCTRTGTGCGGAGCAGCAGGGCCGCGTTTGGGATGCAGCCCACGGGACACGGTCACCAGGCAGCAGCGGGAGGAGCYGCCGGCGCCCGCTGTGTCCCCTCCCTTCGGCGGCTGCGGGGCGCCCTGGGCTCTGACAGRGCAGAGCAAGGCCCAGGCAAGCTGCTCTGCACAGGCTGCCACCCCAGCCCGGCGCCTGCCCGACACGGAGCTGCTGAAGCCCTCGTCTTGTCCAGCAGCAGCTTCGTGTTCCCAAGCGCTCYGCGCAACCGGACGGATGGTCCTGGCTGGAAACCAAACACAGGTCTTGGCTACTGCCAAACCACTTCCTTCAGTAAGTTCTCCCACGCATCTAAAGTTCAGCAAGCTCTGGCAAAAGCAGAGCAGCTCTCAAAATATGGCCTGTGTTCCCAACCAGTTTTCTCACTGGGAAAGCAGAAGGCCTGGTGGCCAGAAGAAATTACAAGTCAAGAAATCTCTACCATGTCCACTAAAGTGCAGCCAAACACACAAAAGGATGCTGGATCCTGAAACTCCTGATCCATGCAGCTAGAAAAAACACAGCATGGTCTAGTGAGAAACCAGGCACTGAACACTCACATTTATTGATGTTTTCTATGTCTCCCTGCTCGGTGATGATGTTCAAGAGCCCCTCCATCAGCAGCAGGGCCTTGTGGTACCTCTGTGCACAGTCCTCCCGGTGGTGGAACATCTCATCCAGGGCTGCAGATTGCACCTACAGGCAACAAACCCATGCAAGAGCTTATTCCCAGATCAGATYCAGTTCTCCCACCACTGCCCCTCTGCTGCGAGACCATGTCCTTGTCCAGCCCTCCAAGGGCTTCACATGGTATCAGGAATTAAATCATTTAAGGGCATGGACAGAAATTGCTAGTGCCCACCCGTGGCTCTGCACTGAGCCCATTCCCTGGCACCGTGGGGTTATTACCATCTGCACAGCGTAGCTGAAGATGAGCTTCTCTGCGGTGATGCTGTTGATGCGATCCATGAGTTTCTGTTTGTCCAAGAAGAACCTCTGGAGCCTCATGTTGAGGCAGTGGCAGGACGACACGCTGGATTTGTAAAGCTCATTCAGCTTCTTCACAACTAGGGCAAAGGAAGGAAACGCTTTGGGCTCCACTTTCAGTTCTCCCTGTGCCTCCCATTCCTCATGCACAGGACTCCATATAAACAACCCAGAGCCCAATGGGTTGTATTAAGGCCATTATGAGACCAATAGGTGCAGACCAACCCCCTGCACCAGCAGGGTTTTGTCTTTCTCCTGTCCTTTGTCACCTTCACCAGTTAGAGGCCTGCACATGGCAACACCTACACACAGGCCCAGGGCACCTGAGGCCAGGTCTATTTTTGTTTCTAGCAGCTGCCTCAGGGCAAAGCACTTTGCACTGTGCAAGTTGTCTCACACATCACCAGAGGCAGCAGCTGTGCCAGACACAAAGTTTCTGTGAACTGATGGGTACTGATGTGCTGTGAAAAAGCTCGGGACTCCCGGAGAGCTGTGAGAGGCAAGCACGGACAGGCAGCCCTGACTAGGGCAGAGCGGGGCTCTCCTGGGGATCTGCTGTCCCATYAGGGGCTGGAAGGGCAGCCTTGCTCTGAAAGAAGTTGGAAGTGGGAAACTCAAAGCTCCTAGATGGAATCAGGAGGGAGAAATCAAGAACTCCTTAGAAGGGTTTGTGCTTGAAAACCCAAGGCAGACTTTATTTCTTAAAGCAAACAAACARAGCAATGTCCTCATTAATAAAATTCAATCAGAGCTCTGAACATTGCCCAATCTACTGTAAACAAAAGCAGCAAGCTGTGGGTAGGGACTCTGCCTGGCACACACTACCAGGGACAACCTGGAGCACCCCCTTGTCCCATTTCCCCACTTGGCCCATGGGATCAAGTTATGCAAGTACCCTGAAAACCTTCTTTTCCCTGAGGAGAACCTCAGTTGTTGTGTGGGCAGGGAAATAAGGAGAGAGCCTTGCCCAATTCCCCCAGCCAAYGGAGGAGCGCTGCCATCATCTCCCACTGCAAATCTGTCCATGAAGAGGAACAAATTGCTCGAGTTCTAATGACTTTCCCAGTAGTCTGGGTATGTGGAAGACGTGTAGGGAAATCTGTGTTTCTCCAAAATACTCACTACAACATACATGTGCACATATTCTCTGCTTTTTCTTTTATTTATTATTATTTTTTTTTATATATGCACCCTCTCCTTCAAGTCAGCACAGGTACTTTCAAAGATTAAGCCCTACGGAAAGGAGGCTGAGGGGTCAAGAACTTCTTGTGCTTCAAGAATCTCCTTCAGTATTATAATAATGGTAGTTTTTAAATGACTTTTTTTTTCTCTCTAATCACTGAATCACAGTCAGTTCACACCATAATCAACAAGAAATCAGGCAGTCAGATGCAAATATAAGGCCATGAGAGAGCAGCAAATAAGCAACTCTGGTGTTACCAGTATTTTACTTCCTGTGTTTTCATTTCACTTGAAAATCATCATTGCCAAGACATGTCTCACTTTGCCAAATAAGCACTTACTAGGACGTGTAATTAAAGTGGACTTACATCAAGTGCAAATAAGTATCTGAGATAGAGGCATACAAGAGTCAGATAAGAGATATTCCCCTCTCGCTAATTAGCCCTGGAGATTCACAAAGGAGCATAAGGAGGAGGAGGAGTTTTGAGTACTGTGTATGTATAAAAAAACACCCTGAAGGAAAGGCCTTGCCCTGCATGGGGACAATGAGGAACAAGCACATGTAGGGGCTCACATTCACCCAAGCTCTTCCCTGGCCTTGTGGTGCTTTAAATACTCCCATTTTGGGACAGCTGTGCTGCAGTGCAGCCCCTTACCTTGCTTGACGGTGGAGGAGAGGCACAGCTTGCCTGCCTTGATCTGCTCTATGGCTGTCTGCAGGCCAGAGGACAGAAGCTCTGCTACTTTCAGGTACAGCACCAGCTGCTCTGCATAGCTGCAAAGAAAGCACATTGCAATGCAGACAGATGAGCAGGGCGACGAGGTTACAGCAGCGAGCATCCCAGATGATTTCCAGCAGGGAATGCCAGCACTGGAATTCCAGCACTTTCCCTCACCTCCATTCCCGGCTGAGGAGGCTGATCTGGTCGGCCACCACGCTCTCCTGCAGCTGGTACTCGGACGCCACGGAGCTGCTCATCTCACTGGARCTGCCTTTGAGGGCAGCGATTTCCATCACGTAGTGGACGAAGGCCAGCGTGAAGCGCAGGCTGCGCAGGATGTCCGTGTGCTCTTGCTGTGGAAGGGAACACAAGGTGGGTCACACGGCGGAGCGGGCAGGACAGTAGGGCCGCTCACCTGGCAGTGGGACTCATCCAGGTTTACAACAAGTGACACAAGTGACAACAAGAGGTTAGAAATCCCTCTGCACCTCTGCTCTGGGAAGGAGCGTTCGGCTGAGCACTGGGCCCACCACCACCCGGCCCCTCCACATTCAAAGCAGCAGGGACAGCCCTAGGACAGATATTTACAGGCAGTTCCCTGGACAAGCTGGCAAGATTTGCTCCGAGTCTAGCCACGCTCTTCCCAAGGAGTGTTCAGACTCCTTTGGAAGCCAACTTGGAAGACGGAGAGAGCCTGCRCCGTGGGCCCAGCTCTGCTCCCCATCACAGCAACACTGGTGCAAGCGATTGGGGGTTTCAGGAGAGTGGAAACCTCCTACTTCAAGGAGGCTGCAAACACAGCTTGTCTCRCCCTGTACCTGATGCCCTCACTTAGCTCTAAGTCTGCACATGCTACTGGTTCAGCATAGCTGAACCCTGGGTGAGGTGCTCGGAAGGAAACAARGACAACATTTTTATCTGTGACTCCTGTCTGGTCAGCGAGGGAAGAGAGACTCTCACCCTAAGTGTTATSCTCCTTTCAAAGCAGTTTCTCTTCTGCTATTACGGATCAAAGGGGATTTATCCCATTTCTGGGAAGCTGCATCGCCCAAATCACACACAAGCTTTTTTTGGGAAAGTTGCATTTATGGAAAAACTGAATTCTTGTGGGTCCTACCAAATGAACGGCTGTCTGGATCAAAGGCAGTTTCACTGTTCCTTCTTAGCCTCTGCAGAAAAGTAGTTCATTTTTTTGACCTTCAAATATTTAGTGGGTTGATTCTCTCAAAGAAGGATTGGTCAGGATCTTCCCTACATGAATTTGGGTCAGGGATATGCCTCAAGTTCTGTATGCTTTGGCGTGCTTGGTTTTTTTAATTCACTGGCTCAGGAACTTGGCTTCTACAGCAGCTTTGAATATCTGAAATACAAATCTCTCTTCTATTATACTGCTACCTGGACAGACTGGTGAGGTAAGGAAACGTTATCTCCATCTTCCTCTTTTCTCTTTAGAAGCAGAGGGGAAGTCAGTGATTTAGCAACTGCCAAGTCACACACACAGTTTGTGGCAGGGCAGGAAACTGAGTTGAGATCTGGCAGGTCTCAGCCTGGTATCTCTAACCAAAGCACTGGCCTTTCCCTCTGCTTATATACTTGGGTTTACTAAATGCACTGCAGTTCCTGGCCTTGTTTGGCACTGTGAGACAAACTTGGAAACCTAACCTTCAATTTGCCTTGTCTGCACTTAGGAAACTTTTTTCAAATGAGAGCAAAACCATCTATCTGAATGTAACAGCAATGCTCAAGATAAATAAGGCTGCTTAAAAAGCAAGATTTCACGTCCTGAAAATGTCAGCAGAAAGCAGAAAACTGGCCAGGTTTGTGTTCCAGTCAAATCCCCAGCGTACAAAGGGGTCTCCAAATATGCCAAGCGGATTTGGTGCCAGAAAGGCTGTGACAGGCAAATGGATTGCTGTGCTCAGCAGAAGAAACAACCAAACCAAAACGACTCACTATGGACATGGGAAGCTGAGCTGAGTGGTACRAATGAGATGGAGCTGATACTGTCTTAGAATATTTCCCTTCTAACCCTGAGGAGTGGTGGCAGCTAGCAGATCCCCATACTTGTGGGTCTCTGCAGAAGAATGATGCTTAAAAAAATTTACTACTATTTGAATCACATTAGTGTTGAAATCCTAGTTTTGTGGCTCTGCAGGTAAACACAGAAATGCAATCCAATGGAAAAATGAGAAAAATCTGAGCTAAATACAATCTGGAATAGCAGATCAAACCCACATTCGTAGAACGATGTGTGCAGATCTCTGCAGTATCTGGGAGATTTTAGCAACAGCAGCAAAATTTGGATACAAAAAACCTTCCCCAGTGCTGGGCAGCCAAGGAGATAATAGGAATAGAGCTGAAACCATGGCTGAATCTGCCTCCCACCTCTATTGCACATGGACAGCCTGACCTACATTTCAAATATATCTCAGCTACAGACGCATCTGCTCTGCTTCAGCCTCACTTCAGCCTGCAAAGAAGGGGACCCTGGCAGCCTTTCAGCTTCACAAGCCTGTTCTGCTGTTCTGGTGCAGACTTTAAGTCCTCCTGCCTTAAGCAACATGTCAGGTTTATATTTTTTTCAGGTTCTTTCATTAGAGGCTGTATCACTGACTCCCCAAGTACATGCAGAGGGTAGTCATTTGACACAGTAAGCTACTCACTCTCTCAAATTAACTGTTACCAATGCTGAACCTTAYAAAGGAAAAATCACAAACCACCTAGGTTTTCTTCAGAAATGGTCAATAYAGAACGTGTCAGATAACTGATATTTCCAGCCTTCAGGTTTTGCAAATGACAAGTAATATCCCCAGACATGGGCTGTCCCAAGGCCCCAAGTAATGAGGCTCAAAAGTTGCTCTGCTAAATGTGTCCTGAGCTTTCTGCACACTGTGCGAGCTCTCCCGGAGTCAATTCACATCATCAGGTCACATCTCTCCGCAAGCAGGGGGTCATTCGATCTGTGGATGTATTTTCCTTTTACCCTCCCTCTCCTCTTCCCCTTCCAAGACCCTGCCATGCACCCACCTCCATGAGTGTCTCTTCAGGCAACTCAGGTGCCTCAAACGTAACAGCACCTTCCAGGTTAGCTGTGATGGGGTCAGCAAAGGCGTACCGGAGACTCGAGGGGCCTTCCACGATGTCCCCACCAGCTCCCATTGCCAGGTGTCTGCCAGTGAACGAGCCTCCAGAACTGAGAGAGCTGGAAGACCCCACTGAAAAGAAAAACAAACACGGACATCAATATTTTAACACCAGACCAGGTATTCCTCAGCCAGACTGAGGTCCTCCTGCCATGGTGGGATGCAGGATCCCATCTCTGACAGGGGTCAGCAACAGGCACTTGGAGAGCGATGCAAGGTCCCTGGACCCTGGATCGTGAACAACCACTCCCATGTAAGCTCCTCATCATCTCAGCTTATCAACTCCAGCACATTCAGTGCACCTTCCAGAACATTTGTTATTCACAGAAACAATTACAGAAGCTTTGTTTCTCCTCTCCCTTCCCAAAGACTTTCAAATTCTGCTTCAGTATCTTGTGCTTATTTTATCATATGCCACTACAGTCAACTCTACATCATGGTTCAGCACAGTTTGAACTCTGGGTTTTATACTTCTGGTAAATGAAGTTTATTATAGTTTTTAAACGTGAGCAATTTAGATGGATGCCAGAAGGGCTTTCCACTACATTCCCCACACTTCTGCTTCCTTCTCTTGACAAATGGGAGTCCGGGCACAGGGTAAGTTACACCCTAGTTCAGAATGCAGGAAATCCTGTCCAGTGTTGCATCCATCACAGTTCTCTAACATCACCTCCTCCCCCTTTTGCCCATTGAATCCACCTCATGAGCATATCACATATAAAGATAAATACTTTAAAAGGAACTTCTGTCCCTGGGTATTCATGCTACATTCATTTCCATAGGGCTTGACACTCCCTGAGCTTGCTCTTTTGCAGAGGGATATGTTCTGCCCAACAGGAAGATGCTAATCCCAGCTGCAAGACTGTGCTAACTCTACCCCAGTGATAGACAGTTCTGCACTGTCACTACCTGGGTAGAAGGCGTTCTGCCCCTGTGCAGTTTATTTGCTGCTCTACCCTGCCTCCAGGAGGCTCAGCAAGGCAGAGCCTCCCTTCCTCCAGAACCTCTCCTGCAGCCAGCAGCTACATGCAGCACTAAGCAGACACCAAGAGACTGACACGGTACTTCTAGGTGACCCTGTGTGTGCAGAGGCTTGGACTAGATGATCTCTAGAGGTCCTTTCCAACTTTAATGATTCTATGATTCTGTGATTYCAGATCTTTCAGAGACACCACCATATTCCAAGCATCCTGTATTTCCAGGACACCRCTTGCAGAGGTTTTTATCATGATGTGTTAAAAGGCTCTGTCAAGCAATCTTACTCAGGGCTGGCACAAGCATTTGGGTTATAGAGCCTCAACCTGCAAAGTCCCCTTCCCTTTTGTGTGTTGGCTATTACTAAAGGAGYTGCTGCCAGACCAGGCTTGCCAAGCGTCACTGTTTGCCTGCTCTCTTGGCTGAGTGCTCTGCGTGAGTTTTAGGTTTAGTTTCCTCCTCTTCCATGGATCCCATCTGAGATCCTGTTTTGCAGACCTTGAAGATCCAAATACCAGCCCCCTAGAAACGTGGGCTTGGATCTGCTTCCAAGTTGCCGCAAAAGAAATACAGGAAGCCTGATTTCCCTATTCAAAACATTTCAGTGGGAACGAGAGGTCCTCACACAAAGCAGTTGCTACCTTGGCTACGAGCCAGTCAGACACTTTGCAAGAGAGTCCCTGCCCTACAGAGCTTGCACTCAGAACAGACAAAACAAAAGAAGGATTATGATCCCAACTTTCCAGACAGATAATCAAGGTCTGAGTGGGTTTCGTTATGAGAGAAACCCAAGTTACAGCCAGGAACTGAGTCCGTATGTCCCCCCCCTTCCCAGTAAAGTAGTTTATTTGTGGTTACATCCAAACCTTCTTTGTGGTAATTAAGAACAACAGGGTCGACAACATTCAGATGAGGAACAACCCAGACAAAAACCCAATCAGGCCAAAAACGCAAGCAGATGTGTCCAAATATTTTCTTAAACTGAACATAAACTCCAGCTCCTGGACTGTTTACCCCAGAAGGGCCACACCAGAGCCTCAGCAGCTGCCTGATGAGACCAGAGTGCTGTCATCTCAAAATGATGGTTCTGCCCAACAGGAAAGCATTCTGCTTTTCCTACATAAGCAACTTGGGGCATAATTAACACCATTAGTACTTCTGCATAAAGAGCAAAAGTACTTTCCTAACAGTACTTGTGCATCAGTTACGTTTGGCTGTTGCAGTTTACCCAAAACCCAGGAGGAAACCATCGGAATGCAATCTTTGCAGCCGCTGCCCTATCAGCAACCACTGGGCCTAGGAACAGCTGCAGCTTTACTCCTGAAGTGGAGCAAAATGAAGTAAAACAAAAACACAGCTGGGCTCTCTCCTCCAGCACTAGACACCAAAATGCCCTTGGGCTTGTGCAAAGTTAACAGCAACAAGGGGGATGGCAGGAAYTGGTGCAAGAACCTGAGAGGCATTTTGCCCAGCCGAGCTCCGCACGGCCCTGTGGCACCCCCGAGTTCTCCGGCCGTGTTCAACAACGAGAGGCACGGCCCGGAGCTCTGACATTCGCAGTGGAACAGRAGGGTAGCAGCCCTTTACCTGAAAACATCCTCGTCCTCGTGGTCTGTGGGGGGGTTGTTCCACTGGGAGGGGATCCGACAGTAAAAACCACTGGGGACGGACTGGCAGAGCCCCCCGCCCGGGCACCAGYGTGCAGGGTCCCTCCGTAAGCACCTGAGGGAGCTGGGGAGACAGTTGAAAGGTGCAGACTGGCATTACAGGAGTGTCCCTCGGAGCACGGTTGCCTCCCCCAGCAGCCTGCTGTTCCTGCACGCTCTCCAGAGAGCCGTGGGTGCCAGGACAGGCCGAGGCTCCCGTTGGAAGCCCCCCCTGAGAGCATCACCAAGCCAGGCTGCCAGGCACCACAGCACGGGAGCCTGGCAGCGTTTTGCACCGCTGCAGCTGCTCTCCSCTCCTCGCTCCCCAACCTGCAAGCCCAGGAACACCCACCCTTGCAAGGCCCTTCACAGCGGGGCTGCCTGCCACCAAGTCCCCACTCCCATGTGATAGCACAGCCAGAAGGGGCCAAGAGAGGAAGCCCTGCCTACAAAAATCACACCGCTGGCCAGCAATTACACAGCACGCGTAACCCACAGACCTCAGARCCTTCCACAAAGGAAGCAAACATCATTACACTCTTCACACACAGCAGTCACTTCCTACATCAAGAGCCACCAGATAAGAAGCCTCCCATCCACGAGAGAGACGCAGGGAAACCCTTGTCCCCCAGCCCCAGCCAGGACATCCTGCCAGAGCTGCCTGGGCTCTCCCGCTACCTGCGATTTCCATCGGCTTCTCGTTGTTCAGGCTGTCATTGCTGCCAGCTTCCGAGATCTGTGCCCCAAAGGCAGCCTTGAGAAGCAGGTCGGTGAGCCTGCCCGTGCTCAGCGATCTAAAAAGAGGACAAACAACATGATTCAGGAAGTCAYCAGCATGTTTGGGGCACAAGATCCCCGCTAACTTCTGCTCCAGGCTGTACCACTCCCAGTGCTCCCCTCTTTAACACCATCCAGCAAATGTCTGGTGCAGAGCAGACATAACCACAGGCCCTTTCCCCTTGTAACAAAGCACCCAAAGCTTCTCCTGATACTTGCAGAAAGCTTAGGACTACTGCAACTAATTGCAGCCATGCAATTACTGAATGCAGCATTACCATAACACAGAAATTGTCTTTATGGGAAGATATCAAAGTTAATTTCTTCCCTTAAGGAATAAGAGGTCTTCATGTCCCAACAGGCAAGCCTGGAGCACTCTGAATACCATAATCCATGATCACTGGAGAAACTACAAAGACTGGAGAAACTGCAAACTACAGGTAGACAGATAAGGAAAATTAATGTGAAGACTTAAGCAGATCTCCATCCTGCAGTGGTCATGACAGTCACCAGCTAAGTTTCAAGCAGCTCTCTGAAGACCCAGGCCAACTGCATGGTTGATGAGGGACATCTCTCAGAGACAGGCTCCAAAAGAAACAAGGAACGTATTTGCATCATTGCAGGGAGCCGGGTCTAATTCCCAAACCCTTGATCCCTGCTTGATGAAACCTTGGGCAGTAAAACCCAGCGTGAAGCTGCAGGCAATCTTTTGCATTTGAAAAACTAGGCCATGGTCTGATGATGTAGAGGAAGACTCTAAAATCTGCATAACATCTGCTTGCAACCCAAGGGTGCTAGCTCATTACTGCCGAACATTTGCAGATGCTACATTATAACCTAAGAAGTGCTGGGGTGTGAAATTCATCCCATCCCTCCTGAGACAGGGAGGGAAGCACCACACGTGTGTTTATACTTCAGAGCAGCCAGCAGAGCTCACCTGCCCTTGATCTCCTCCACAGGCCTCAACCCCAAGCCAGTCTGCTGGCAGTGGAAATGACCCATCTCCTTCAGATCCGGCAGCGTCTTGTTCCGTGTTGGAGTCATCATGACCCCTTGATGGGCCAAGAGTGTGAGGAGATTCTGGGAACTTGGTGTTTTGGGAAATTCAAAGGGGGACACAGCCTAGGGAGGAGGAAAAAAATGAAAAAAAAAAAAAAAAAAAAAAAGAGAAATCTGTCTTTAAAATCAAAGGATTGAGATTATTTTTCCCTTTTTTTTTTTAAATCTAAAATTAAACTGAAATATATCTGAAATAAAGAGGCAGAAATCCCAGTGCACACAGTTACTTGCCCCTAGCCCCAGAAAAAATAAAAAGAAAAGCAAAAAAAATCCTGCTGAAAAACTGCAGCAGCCAACACAGAGAGCAAAYGCTGTCCCGGTGCCAGCTCCACACGAGACACGGGGGCTGCCACCTGCTAAACCGGCTGCCATCTCCACCGGGCATTCCCAGGGGGCACACGCCTGCGTCACAAGCCAAGTCACTGCGCGCAGATCAACCTAGACATGACAGCTCACTAATGCACTTATGTCCTAATCTGGGCAGCAACTTTTCTGAGCCTGTCTAAATCTCTGGACAGCGCTCAGATGGCTGACACCATTGCCAAGGGGGATCTGTCCATGAAGAACTGGGGCATCGGCACATTCCCCACGGATCACTAAATAGAGCTTGAGGAAGGGGGAAGAGCGGGTGATAAATCCAGGCCAGTTATGTGATCACACAGTATTTCAACCCCAAACAATCTACCAGATCAAGTCGAGAGACCCAGAAGAAATACCTTCGTGGGGGAGCCCATGATAGTTGGCAGAGGGCTCCTCTGCATGAACTCAGACAGCTTTGGGGAGGACCTGAGCTGCCGGCAGTGCTGCAGGCCGTGCACCTGCAGCGGCTGGTTCACTGCCGCGTGGCCAAAGTGAGCAACTAAAGGATCAGAGTGCTGCTTGGTTATCTTCTGCCTGCAGGAATGCAAATCGGACAGGTTGGGTGCGCTGTGGAGCCGGGAGCCCATCCCTCGAGGAGAGTGCTCGGGTGCTGAGGCACCTGGAGGGCACAAACACAGTGACAAACCACATAACTCCCTGGTACCGAAAAGACAGCCGGATCTCAGGATTCACTAAGACATCCAAAGGCGTAAGTTTGTATTGGGTTCTTCAGCTTAAAATATTCAATGGATGCATATGGATGGTCAGTGCCACAGATCTTCTAGACCTGACCAGGGTTTGACCTACAGGCGAAGCAGACATGAAGAGCAGACACAAAAATTATGGCCGGACTTTTCCCTTTCACTGCAGCCCTGACATGAGCAGCAAGGAAACTGCACATGAAGCAGTCCTTGTGGCAGATGGGGAAGTCAGGAGGGCTCTACTCAATCCACTACCTTCAGACACCAAAATCAAGAGTTTCTGTGACACAAGATCTGTCAAGCACTGGAAGAGACTGGGGACCTGAACGGAGTAATTCCTGCTCCTACCAACATGCAGAAATCCTGGTTGACCAACAACCAAGAGAAGCTTCCAAGGACTGTACTCCATCTTGGATAATCTGAAACCATGGACTGACCTTACCCAAAGGAATAATGAAGGAAAGTAAGCAACGTACCAACCACAGGAATCCGGTTTCTCATTTCTGCTCCGAGAGAGCAGGGGATAACAGTCTGGTTAGGCTGCTCGGGGATCGTCCCAACTTTGAGAGAAACACAACCAATATGTTAATTCAGTGTTAATTTTCCATAGACAACAACAACACTAGGCACGGACCCACTTTATAGGAAGACACTTGCCATCTCTCACCTCCTCTGCCCTAACTGTATAGTGAAAAGATCAACAACTCCCATAAAAAAGGAAAAAAACAAGTTCTAACTGTCATTAACTTATAATTAAGTTTTAATCTGGTTTTGCTTAAGTTAATTGAGAAGTAAAATATGAATAGATCTGCATATGTCCACTGAAAGAGACTTATAAATACAGGATTATATAGGACTGGGGGTATAGAATAGATGCAGAATAGCTAGTTACATCAGAGTCCATTCATTTACAGAAACTAGCAAATTCCAACAGTTGCACACTAGGGCTTTTCCCCTTGGATTTCAATTGCTAGTTAGCCTGTGGATCAGGCCACCAGCTACTCAGATAGCTGCTCTGAACTCACTCTGGGCAGTCAGTTCAGACCCTCTCAAAGCCAGTGAGAATTGCTCCAACAGAAGCTGGGTTCCATTTTTATCGCTCCAGCCTGAGATGGTACAAAAACATATTTTGCACTTAGAGGAGCCCTCTCAGGAAGATTACAAAATGTTTCCTGCCAAAACCAAAACAAAGCTTGCATCTTATGAGGAAGATAAGCACCTTCTTCTCTATTTTACTACAAGTCAAAACATTTGTCAAACGGACATGCCATGAGAGAACCCAACAACTTCAATTCCCCATTACCCGGCAGCCACAGCTGGTCATAACCTCTCTATGGAGAGGACACCCTTGATTTTATTAGGGCAGCAATATTCCCGCTGGCAGCTTACCTTGTGGAGATGGCATAAACGGCTTGGCACCACCAAATGAGAGCTTCCTGGAGCTGGGCACAGATCCATGCTCTCCAGCATAAGGRGGCGAAGCACCAGTTTTAGGAAAACCAAGAGGGCTGGTACTGCTGGATCTCCGCACCGTCCCAGACCTTGGTGGAAACAACAGCAATGAACAGATCACTTCAGCTACCAGTTAAGAAGAACAAGAAAAACTGTACCACTGTCTGGCTCAAGCCTAGGTACTTCCACAGAAGTGAATCCTCCTGACTGTTTATCCTCCATCAAAATCCCACTGCACGAGGATTACCATCTTAATAGACATTTATGTAGCCCTAGCTCTCAAATCCAAACAAAATTTCACAAAACAAAGGGGAAAAAGAATGAGATTAGCTTAAATGCAYGCAGAAAACCCTACCATTTTTAAGAATCATACTTGGACTCTTTCAGGTATCTAGAACAATTATGAACAAGTAACAGCTCCRTAACTTGCCCTATCCTGGCTACTGTTGACACAATGCACTCAGAGGGCTTTACTTGAGTGTTCCCTGTCTGCTGTGCCACACACGCCCTTGTTGGAGCAGCCTGTTAATTAGAAAGCTCTGCAAGTGCCTGCCATGTCATACAGAGTCAAGCTGTGCCAAACGAACTGCTCCTCAGCATCGCTTTGGTTCAGATCAGCAGAGGAGACAAAGTCAAACAGAGTAGGGCCTGGTTGTCAGATCTAAACCATCTCTGTACCACCCAGAGGAATAACTCTCTAGGTTGGGATGTTCAGAACTATCTGGGTGTCCAGTGTTTTTATCTCCTTGTAAAACCCCACCTGGAAGGGTTAAGATTAATTTGTGCAGGCCAACCAGCACCCTGATGCAGGAAACTCAAGTATTTCCCAGTTGCTACAAAGGGACAGAAGAGGGAAACTAGAGTAGAGGAGAAGTCARTGCAGCCACATCACCTCTCTGGAAACAACTGGGGATTTGGTGTATTGAGTATTTCTTAATATTCCAATGTCTGCATTGCACAGTAAGAACATGCACTCAAACATTCTCTGCTTACTGAAATGCAGTTTTACCTCTGCAGGTTCCTTCACTAAGATTCCCATCACAGTCAACTACATAAGAAAACACTCCTTTCATTACATCTTTAATTTTACTCTTCATTTGGAAACAATATTTTCCTTATTAAAAGGATATTGGTCTCAGCCAGTAGGTGTTTTTTTGGACAGAAATCATTGAATCATTTGAGGAGAAGKAAAAAAAAATAAAAAAGAGCTCACATCATTGAAAGATACTGTCACCCAGACACCCCTCCTCTCCCTCCAGCGCAGGCTGAAGCTGAGCACACAGGTCAGAACAGAACAGACACAGGCATATGGAGGAATAGCAGGAATGGCAAAGTCATCTTGATCAACTATCACTGTACCACTCAACAACACCGTTCAGGAAGCTTTACTTTACACCATGTTTCGGGGGGGAAAAAAAAAAAAGTCTTTTTGGGGGTTTAATGGTTTAATTCTCCTCCTTTCCTTCAATGTCTTATTAAAGTGCCTCAGCCAGATGAATCCACACTCCATTCATATGATTGGAAAAAAAATGGGAATTCTTTAAAGCTTCAACCTTAAACATCTCTCTGGGTGCCAGGTTGCTCTGCATTTTAGCACTATCAAGTGCCCAGCCCTGAAGCAAAATGAGTGATTACACGCACATACACACAAAAGGGAACAGGAACCCAAGAGGATGAAAAGGCTCTCTCTGCTATTGAGAAACCTGGTATTTTTCCCCCATCTTTTTAACTCTCCGTAATATAAGCCAGCCAAAAGGCTGACTCTACCTATCATGAACTTTCAGAAAAACATCCAGCTGATTGCAGCTGCTGAGCGATGAGGAATGCCAAGCACCACCTGCAAGACACGGCGTAAGCAGAYGAGCAGGACAGGTGATGTGGTCAAAAGTAAGTGCACATAATTACCACCTCCACCAGCAACTTATCTTGCCACAAACAAGCTACATGACACAGGCTCGCACCTGCCCGTGCGACAACAGTATCTTTTTTCAAAAAGCACATTTTATAGTTTTTAGTCAAATGACTTGCCAGGCATGACCAGGCATTTGGCTGTAATGGCTCATTTTGTACTCGTGATGGAAAACTGGAATCATTAAATGCCTAAGGAAGTTTCCCTCTTCCATTCTTGAGGGATGGCTGCTGAATTTGGTGATGAGAGGAAGTGATCATGAGAGATAAACATGGCTTCCTCAGGCAGAAAGAAAACATGACGCCAGTGATTTTGAGAAGATGCTAAAAGCAGAGCATGAATCATCTGATTGCGCCCATTCCTCGAGTTCCTCTGCAGGGACGATGCTAATCTCATCATTACACTGTGCTGACTAAAAGAAGCAAAACAGGACAGTTCATCCCAGGCTGGTGGCCTCAGGCTGTGACCTGAACGCCAGAGTCTGCTGCCATGTCGGGGGACCCTGGGCACATCCTCTACGTGCTTCCCAGAGCTCCCCCTTCGTGTGTTACATGGGTAACCAGCATGTTTGTCTTCGGCCCAAAGCTAAAAGGACCCACGTTTTGCCCTAAGTAAAGGGCACCTGAGAAACTCTAAGAAATTCCCCTGAACGACCTGGGCTGTCAGGTTAACTCTCATCTCAGAACAGTGAGAACCATGAATTCCAYGTGACAGAAGCCTGCTGTTTCATGCAAGCCCAATCCATGAGCAYGGARCTCAGGAAGGTGGCTCGATGGTGCAAGGCTGCGTCCGGTTCCTCCTCGCGGCCCTTCAAAATGTGGATTCTGCCTCACAGGCATAAATTGCTCATGACTTAATCAGGCTGCATAACCACATTAATATGCAACTCATGTGAGATGCATCACCCGTGGCGTGACTAGCCATGGGAACAGGTGAAGGTGGAGCCAGGTAAGTGTTGCTGCCCCATTAATTTTAGATGTTTTTCTCAAATTTTGCTTCTRTAAAGACACCTGCTAAATAAATGGTTCTCTCCACTTGAATATCCAAGTCGCATCTAGCATTAAAAAAAAGTCAGATTCACAAAGGGCTCAGCCTGCACTGAAAATTCACAAGAGCCACCACACACAGAATTTACAGTAATTGCTAATAAATAAATCATATCATGACAATAAAATACTCCAATAGCAATGTTACTACCTAACACATACTGTGTTAGCTCCCTACAGCAAGGGGGAGAGCCCATTGCCCAGGGAAGTGTTTAAAGGAACACGGAGAACAAACTGCAAAGCGTGTCCTGAGCGGTAACGGAGCGGCCGTGCCCTGTCCGCYCTGTCCCGTCCCGCAGCACTTACCGTGGTGAGGAGCACTGATGGGGAGACTGCAGGTTCTGCTCAATCCGCCTGTAGTTATGGATTTGTGTTGGAACCGGAATGGGCACAGAGTGTCCGTACTTGCTGCTGGAAAACTGCCCCGGCCGGCTGTTGAGAGACAAGGAGAGCCRCTTGTAACGGGATGTGGGAGCTCCGCAAAGCAACCGAGCGCCTGGTTCATTCCTCTCCTTGGCTTGGGAGTTGCTGCTGGGTCGTTGTTGCAACTCCTACCAGGAGGAAGCGGCCCCACATGTTCCCTGGATGAGGTGAGGAACGTGCTCCTCTCCTCGGCGCTCCCGCCCACGGGCTGCAGTGAGCTCGTACCTCCGAGCACACCGCTCCCTTCTGCRAAACTGGAGCCCAGGTATTTCAGACTGGCCTCGTTTTCAACAGCTCCGATGCACAGCCAAAGAGCACATCACCCAACACGGGCTAAATGCCTGTGCCTCACAAAATACACCAGCAAAAGCTTTCACTGCCAGGCAAGACTTGTGCGTTGCTGGAGCAGGAGGATCCCTATGAGAACTGCTGTGCCGAGAACACACGCTTGTGAGTATCAGAGTATCTGCAGTAACTACAGGGAGCAGAAGACAGCTTAGGAGAGAATCAAATCAGAGGGAAGGGCCAGGGACTATATTCCTATATGCCCACAAAGGTCAGCGAAACATCACACGTGCTAAATGGGACAGGCTCATTCTGCAGACTTCAGACTCCTTCCTGGCTCTATCCCAGCAGATTAATCCACTCATTCCTGCTATCTGCTGCCTCTGGATGTCATCTCCCCGTCTTGTTCTGCACCTCTGTGCTACACTCTACAAAACCCATGCAAACACACACTAAATAGTTGTACTTAAGCCTTTTCCCAAAGGCGCCAGAATTCTAGGATTAATTGCCTTGGTAATGCTATCTACAACTGCCAACACCAATTGCAGAGGTGTTGCACAACTACAGCAGGATCTTATTGGCAGTGAAGGCTTTCATAGTCTTCCTTGTTGTCAGTCTAGGAGGCACACCTGGCTCTGCCCCTCAGCAGCAGGAAGCCTCACTTCYCCAGGTGTAGCACTTGGTACGGAAGTCTTTAACTTCAGGTGAAGATTAAGGAAAATATTTAACTTGGTAAGAGCRCATGTGTGTGGAGGCGGGAGAGAATAGTTGTCTACTTCTTTGGCAGTTCAAAGTATCCCTCTACCAGAATTTCATTTTCAGGGAAGGTCAACAGCGCTTTGTGGTTTATGGTGAGAGTGTTCCAAGCTGCAGGATCCRCAGGAGGGTCTGCAGCTCTCCACAAAGAGCACCTGCAGATGCTCCTCAGTCTGAAGGGAATCAACTACCAGAGATATCTTTCTTCAAGGGTTGAAGGAGCAAATATTAATTTTGATTTCTTCCTACTGCTTTCAACATAGCTATTCATTTTCTGAAGTTCTATGTATTCTTCCTTGTCTGCTCTTATTTCTTCCATCAAAAGAATAGACTCTTAATCTGATATCAAAGCAAGTTTCTCATTCAGAAATACAGCAGCTGTGGTGCAGCTCATATCTACCCTGGCCTCCTTAAACCAGCCATTTCTAATCACTAAATTACTAATTAATTTCTAARTTACTTTGAAAAGATATACCGGAACTTACTCAAACATAAGCCCAGGAAYAGAAAGTCAATAAATTCCATTGTGAGAAAGGAAGAAATGACCAGCAATGAAATCAATTCTTTACCCTTGAGCACTTCACTAGAACACCACAATTCCCACCAAAACAACTTGAGGACTTTAGTCTGCCCCTAACAAGCAGCCCAGCCTGGAGGCCTTGATGTTTCACTGACATAACAGAAAATAAGGGAACTCCGGGCTCTGTGGAAAGCCAAATTTCTGGGGTTTCTGCCTTCCAAAACCATAAAACACAGAGTCAGGCAAAGAGTTTGACCAAGAAATCTGAAGGTCAATGTCAAACTCTGTTTTGGAAATATCCAGACTTGCAGCCACTCTTCAGTTTGGCCAAAATCATTTTGTGGAAGTGACCTTTTTAGAGGAAGGATCCTTCTCCGCAGGAATAATATCAAGTGTTCAAAGAAGCCAGCTTTCTGCAWGTTGCAAATGAAAATATCCAAGCTAACTGACATAAATTAAACCTGCTAATTGGCCTCAAGTCTTAAATGGACCATAAATTTGCAAACACCAAGAGATAAAGCTGGGACAAGGAGTTTAATTACTTGCCAGTAATTAAAAGCTCTTTGAAAATGGCATTATATCCATTGCTTTGGGATACATCCAAGGAAGTATCTTTCATTGAACTTAATAAGCGTCTTCAGGGTGGAAGTGTTAGTAAAATAAGCTCCACTGTTACCATGTATTAATTCTGTCTAGTCTTGACCATCTTAGTTAACACTGCTTTAGAGCCTACAGTGACATCCTGAGGAAAATCTGCTGCTGGCCATCCTAAAATAGCCCTTGATTTCTGTCCCAGTTGGGCTGCATCCAGTATTGCTTGCTAGCCTCAAACTGCATGTAAAAGGGAGAGCTGCTGCCTGCCAGTGAAGCAGGATGGGAGAGAAAAATACAGGTCCTTCGTACTGGTGAAGCCAAGACCTGAACCAGGAGGTCTCATGGCACCTACAGTGAAGGGCACTGAAACCCATGCTAATAATAAGGGCATTCCTGGCAGCACCATTCAAATCACTACTTGGGGAACTGATAAAGATTATATTCCACTCTTGGAATTCAGAATGGCTGCTCCAGTCTTTCATTACCTATGATTTTTATTCCTTGTCCTAGACAGGGCATAGAAAGCAACTCTTCAGGGTTTCTTTAAAGCAAACAGAAAAAATGGAAACCAGCTCTGCAGATTTTGGCACCTGTTCTACAGAAGCTGCTGGAAATAAGTAGGAAACACAGGGAGAGCAGAAGTACCTTGGGATCACAGCCACTGGCAGTGACTTTCTGCCTGCTAATCCAGCAGGGCACAATTGGGCCGATTTGGGGAACAGGGTGGGGGAACAGTGAAAAGTGGGTGGCATTTGTAGCAATCATCCCTGCATTTTCACTCACTGCTGTCCAGAAACAAGGCCTAGTCTTTTAATCAAGACTGATCCCAAGAATGCAAAGTGATCAGTTTAAGAATAAAGTGCTAAAAAATATAACGGGCAATGGTATTAGAAGCCTCATGCAATTAGCTCCACACTGTGGTATGTGCTTGCCAATTATTTGATCACATCAGCAAAGGTTTGAGCCATATTCTTCTTCCATATATCTGTACGCTTCAGGGTYATGCTTTGTCATTGTGTGGACTCTGTTATGCAAAGAGTTTTTCCAAGTTGTAGCTTCAACTGTTCTGTATTTTTTTTCCTCCCAAGAGAAAATTTTAGGGTCATCCCTCCTGCCTGTAAATTCCCCTCCAACTCTTCTCTCCCAACCGGTGCCATATGGACAGAACAGGATACGAAAGCTGTCCTGCTTCCCCAGTTGGCAAGCACGAGGCAGGCAGGCCCTGCCAGCTCTCCATAAGCTAACCACGCACCCCATGGCTCAGGAGCCGAGGGAATCATCTTCTACAGCCCACTAACGTGTGCTGACCAAAAATGTGCCTGCAACCACCAGCAGAGCCGAGCAGCTGTCAGCCAACCCATCTCTAAAGGCCAAACCTGAGTTTGTTGTAACTGATTTAGTTGTGACCAAGCCTATTTGCATTYCTTACTCCAACTCTTGCATTCCTCRTTACTAAACATGGCCCAYGTAGCACAAGTATTTTATATAAACATAGTGCAATGGGCTGTTCAGTGCTTCAAGCAAAATGCAAACAGCTAAGCAGGAYCAGGCCTGTCCTTCAGAAGCCAGGAGAGACGAGCAACAATCCTCTACATTTGTCCTYCTGTCCCTTGCCCAGCAATTCAAGCCTGTGGTGGTTTCAAGCTTGGTTCTGTGCTCCAAATAACGGTGAATTGAGAAGTAAGGAACTTAGCAGGAATACTCATCTCCTCTGCAGGCAAAACACAGAAGGGGGACTAGGAATTCATGTGCACCAGTGGGGTATACATTTATTCTCTGCTCGAGAATATTCTCTGTTCCCCCAGGGAAGGGGGTTAATTCCAGCTCTACTACATTCTCTCCTGGGCCCTCCTGAGGACCAAGAGAGACAGGCTCTGCAGCTGGGAATCACTGGTTCCCAAAGCTAGGAGTTTCTCCACGATATTTCTTGTAACCCTTTAATACAAGAAAAGATATGAACCTAGCCCAACACTCCCAAGATCTGCAAAATCCTCTCCTGGAGGTCAATGGGTCTAATTAATCAATGTTGGACAGTCATCAYTGAACAGTCCTTCTTACCTGGATGGGCTAGGAGAACTGCTGTAAGGGGGCGAAGGAGATGGTGTCCTTCCCTGGCTTTCCAAGCCTGCTGAAGCCACCAGAGAACTCCTGGGAAACAAGACAAAGAACAAAGCTGCTAGAGCCTGGGAAACAGCCCTACTACCCCTTACAGAGCACAGCACTGGAGCTGAGCCTGCCCAACACCTCCTGCCAAGCCTAGCTGTAGCAGCTCAAGGGGCTGCCATGCTGTCCCACAATCTGGTGTTCAGGTACCAAACAGCAATGGTATGGCAGAGATTTAAATGCCTGACTAGCCCTTTACACTCCATTTCTTCTATGTCATTTTAACCTGGCATAACAGCCAAAAGCAATACAATTTAGTTCTGGTGGAAGATGAAGCAAAGACCTCAGGACACATCCAGGCCTTTCCTGTTTATTCCGTTCTATATCTCTGAAATTCCCTATCTATAAGTGCAGAGGATTTGATCTGTTACAAACACTACTGGRGCAGGAAGTCTTCTTCTAGCTTGTTCCCCAGTTATCATCCCAGTCCTGTATCCATATTTCTGATTCAGACATAACAGTGAAAACTGGAAATTGCTCAGCACCAGCTATGTGATAAATAGCTCCAAAATGAAAGCTAATTCAGCAACATCTTCCCTCAATCCACCAGAACCCAAAACCCCCCAGTGCAGAGGATGCTCCAAAGGCTACGCTATTTCAGTTGCCTCAGGGCTCTTACCCGCTGTACATCAGACTGTCTTGGATTGGTTTTCCGCCAGCAGCCTCAGCAGTTATATCACCTATGGAACACAGAAAGGCAGGGACATTAATCTGCGATGTATTCAGAGCAACTGAGATTTTGGGTACAAGTCTCTCCTCTCTGAATATCAGCCAAATTACTTCTGAAGTCAGAATTTTGTCAAATTCATGCAGGCTGAAACTRATCTATGCCTAATGCTGCTCCTGATCGTTACACCCTGAAATTCTGGAAAATTTTGGTTGAAAGGGAGTCTCTTTTTGGAAGATGACTAAGCATTGTAAGAATTGTTTGGGGCAACAGCTACATGCTAACTTGGTGCAAACAATAAGCTATTTTGTACAAGCACAGGAGTATTATGTTGAATATTGGGCTTGGACACATCTGTGCCCCAAGTGGCAAAAATCCAGGGCAGTAACACAAGCTGGCAGCTGGATATGTAACACAGGGGAGCTCATACCTTTTGCCAAAACATTTGAACACTGGAAAGCTGAGTAGCACCAGACATGTCTACCCTGGTCCTACTGCTGTTCCCAGAYAGGAACATGAAGAACAGAGTTTTTCCTTATCATAAAAGCTGCACAGCAAAGACGTGTCAACACACACTCAAGGCTGCCCCCCACAAAATTTCTATGTTAATATTAATGGTGCAGCTATAGAAAGCAGCACTGCAGCAGTTACTACCACGTCCCAAACCAGCAAAGCACCGTGGTCAAGGTTGAAGAATGTCTTTCTGCTGGTGAGGTGAGAATTACAAATGGACATAATTGGTGCATGGCTGAACTGGGACCCTGGCTTCCATGCACATACCTACTGTCACACAACTCCTAAGAAAATATAAAAACATACAGATGCTAAAATTAAATTCAAAATGTTTGAAAAAATATCCAACAACTTTTCTTTTCTTTTTCTTAGATACTTTTCAAATACAAAATGCAGTCCGCTAACTGAAATCCTGTCTTGCACTACGCTCTTACTCAAGCCTCCAGTCTTTATTCTCAAATCCTATCTTCAAAGATAATTAATTACAAAATGTCTTAGGAACCTAATCAGTGAAACAGATGTCTCTTCTAGCCTGGGAACTAGAACATTCCTATTATTCAGACAAAATGTACAGGTTTATCAGTGTTTTGACTTTCTACCCTTAGCATCCACAACCCCCTCTGGCAGACCTTCTGGTCCATCAGCAAGCACCTTTTCAGAGACCAACTTACTTGAAAACTGTGCCGGGACCATAACAAAGTCATCAGTGTCACACGATGAATTTTTACTGCTGTTCCCAGCAGACTCCTTAGACCCATGCAGAAATCCAGGAGAATCTTGGGTCGGAGATGTCAGAGTCTTCTCTTGCAGCTGCTGCTGCATCTCTCCAAGGGACTGCTAATTCAAGAAGAAAACAAACACTAGCTTCAGCACAGCCACTTCATCACTCTGCTGGATCCTCTAAATTGAGCTGCAAAAGGCTATAGAACATTTCACTGATAAACTAGGGCTGCCAATTTGCCAGAAGCAGCTGTGTACTGAAAAAGAACAGTCTTTTAAGTCCACCTCAGAACAGTGCATCTTTTGTTGCCCAGAACACAGYACTAGCGTGTCAAACACCCTGCATAAGAGGAATTTACTTGAGCTAATGCATCCCTCTGCTGAGGCTTTCTGGATCAATCATGCACTTTCTACCAACACAATTTAGAAAAAAACAGAAGAGTTTTAAGGGGGTTTTGGTAGCTCATTTGTTTTGTTTTTGTAAACAATACATGCCTGCTCTGTGCTGACACTTCAGCAGCAAGCAGCACTCAGGAAAACGCACATAAATGTCTCTGTGCTGCCAGGACAACCCTATTTTATGGTAGTGCTGCTGACAAGTTAAAGACAGGCCTAAAGGAAACACAGTTTAACAGACAGATGACTCTCCACCATCGGGGAGGCAGGAGAGGCCTTAGCCAGCCCTTTCCTTCTCGTCCCTCAGCCAAATGATGGGTAACCCCACAATCCTTACATCTTRCAGACAGATGGAGGAGGGTGGGTGGTTTAAGAAAGCCTTAAGACGGCTGAATTGCCTTCTGAGCAGATCACAGACTATCTTTATCCTAATGCATTTTTAGGCTGAAAAGATTTAAATGAGCTTTCACTTGGGGCCCCGGTAAGGCCTGGTTGCCYCTGCAGAGCTGCAGCCATGGGCAGCCTCCCTCACTGCATACACACAGCACACGCCAATGGGAGGACTGGGTCCTGCTGGCAGCGCTGCCCCATTTCCACACAACAAGTAGCGCTTCCAGCCGTGGTCCACAGGCCGAGCCAGCCCCCTCTGCCAGCAAAACCTGGAAACCCAGAGCAGGCCCGACCCAGGACACGTCCAACATGGGACACCTCGTGTCGGGCAGCAAGTCTGAGGTGTCCTTGGGCTTCCCGACCAGGAACCGTTAGAGGACAGCCTACTTTCAACACTGTCTAGGCTTAAGGCCCTCCACCAGCCCCTCTCCCTGGGGTTGCAAGCACGGCAGAAGTCAGCACAGCTCTGGCCCTCGGGATATGACTGTGTGAGGTTTGGAGAAGGACAGGGCTCTCCTCCTGCCCCATCCACATCTGAGCTCTTGGTGCCACATTGAGACTCTAGGAAAGGCTCAATTCTGGCATCTTGAAGCAGGTTGGGAAGCTTTAGCCCGGAGAAACCAAGGCAAGAAAAAGCAATAACTCCAAGAGAGGAAGAAGAAAATTGCCTCCCTCGGCTYTCCTCCATGTCACACCAGCTGCATTTCTCAGCACAAAGAACCCAACAAGCAGCTTTCACCAAGGGCCTCTGAAAACAACTATGGGCTCAGAGAGCTACAGCAATGTCACACCACTGGTCAGCAAATACTCTGCCCTTCAGGAAAGTTTTCTTCATTTCAGGTAACCAGATGGGAATTTTTTTTAAAAATACATTGAGAGAACAGCTCTCACAAGACCACAGGACTGTGCATGTGGCTTTGCTGAAGGAGCTCCTCTGTACCTGGGGAGGGTGGCCAGAAAGGAAGAGGGTCACCTGGCACCAAAGAGATTTTGCTCGAGGGCASAGAACTTGCAGCCAAATAACCAGGGCTAAACTCTGAATTAGGGACTCTTTTCAGTTCATTTCTACCTCTAACAAGGTGCTAAAGTCACTAATACTAGTTTGTTTCCTGAAGGCTTTCCAATAATAGGCAACATCAAACTACCAATTCCTTGTGAAGAGGAGGACAACCTTCCGGATCCAAACCCTAACCAGACAGTGGACAGAATGCAGAGGACACTGAGCCAAACTTAGCCTGAAATAAGATGTTTGGAATTTGCACCAGATGATGGCAAATGCCAAATTCTTATTTCAAAGGGGCAAGCAGGGAGCCTGTTAACACAGGAACCACCCAAGTCCCGTACCCTCTGAGCTGTACTCACAGGCGGCGATGCCAGGTGGGAAGTGGAAGAGCTGCTGGAGGAACTACCGGAGCCTGAACTGGGATAGGAAGGCATTGGCACAGAAGCAGCTAAAAACAAGAACACAAACCAAAAAAAAAGAGTTGTCAGAGTTTAAAAATACTTGACAACAAAAGTTTTTTTCTTCCCCCCTCCCATCTTTTCTCATCAGATTTATCTTGTATACCAGAGGATACTGGTTAATGGAGAGCAGGAATAAAGTCAGCATTCAGTCTGGTCATCAGATCTGCATCCATCCACTCCTAGACACCCATGCCACAATCACAGCTCTCAGCGTGGAAGTTCTCTGAGCACTTGCCCACAAACAGGTCTGCTGGGTAAGAGTCGACCTATAGCTGGTGAGACCGTTTCTGCCTAACAAGCCTCTAAGGCTTCTTTTCTGCACATCTTGCCCTTTATTTGCAAAGTGGACTGAGTTCTTAATGTCCAAAAAGTCATTTGGGCTTCCCAGGTTGCATGTGRCTAAAAACACAGAAAAAGTTATTCTGTGAGAAAAATTTTTATTGTTTTGTATCTTCTGCAATTTGAGCAGGTTATGTTATTTATTCTTGCTTGTACAGAAATTGTTCCACAGCACTAGTCATTCTTGCATGGTCTTTGCTTTATATTTTATTGCTCAGGATCAGAACCACACATTTTATTCATTTTATCGTTAAACTAGTTTTTATAACTCTCACAGAGACAGAAAAGCTYATCCTGAAAGGTCTGGTTTGCCTCGACCTACAGGCAGAAAAGCTGATCAACACACCACAGGAGACAACAATATTTAACTCCAATGACTTGTGCAAGTGAAGCTCAGTAAATAATTTAGAAGAGCTCAGCTCAACTGAGGGGATGAGTCAAAGGTAGCCCTGGCTCTTTAGCAGAMTACTTTGCAACGTGTAGTGGTTTGAATTCCGAGGTCTCCCAGCAGGATATGGAATGGTATAAGAGTTGCAAAAAGCGTCCTTTACTAGGCAGCTCAAAGTCAAATGTTAACTCCTCAACATTTTAGTATTTTCACAATGTAAGGCAGAGACCAAAGGCACAGCTTAAGGGAAGAGAGGAATGTTTGGCTTTGCTTCTTTTCCTTTTTGCTGGCATAAAAAAGAGAAACCTGCACCAGATTTGTAACCTTACAGAATCTGTGCTAAATGACTCCACGCTTAATGTAAGGAGGTGTAATAATACCTAAAAAGGATGATGCTTCTGTTTGAARTAAAGGTACCTCTGTCACTACTTACACTAACTATACAAAAGGAACTAACTTACTCCACCGGCTAGAAAAATAAAAACTCAACTCTTTGCAGTTAACTGTTGAAAGTGTTTCAGTGATAAAAGAATGGGAACATGTGTCTTTTAGTGAAATCTTTTCATTCTGTCTGAAGAGGGTTGAATGTGAACTAGATCAGTGTCTCCTGGCACAAAGAGAGMAATCAGTTAGATACCGAATTCCTCAGTCCAACAGACGCAACAAGACCCAATGACAGGAAAACGAAGACAAAGTAAAACAAAGCATGATCTTTTAACACAGGTAAACACCCACTGGAACGTGTTAGGGGGTCATGGTGACCTCCTTCACTCTTTGCAATGCTTAAAAGAAGCTGCATATCTTTTTCCAAGAGGCTACTTGGAAACTTGGCTACTTCCTACTACTCATAGGAAGCAGCTCAGTGTGCAGTGACATGTGCAGTGACTKTACACGTGCACTTGCACACATGTAACAGCAAAAGGGAAAGGAAAAAACACTGCCTGGCAGAAACAGCTCTTCAAGGACCAGGGGCTGCTGTAGCTGCAAGCAGGGGTTTGGTGAAGAGCAGAACCAGCAGCCCAGGCTTGGCCCAATGCTGCATTTTGAGCACAGCTGCTTCACGCTACCCATGATCAGGGGACAAATCCAGGGATCCAAGACCCTGCAGAGCTCTGTCCCACCATTGTCCCCCTCTATTTGATCTCAGAGACGCGCAGAGCCTGCAGAGCAATCCCAGAACCTTCCCTATTATTTAATAAACAGAAATCTAGAAGTCTGGATAAAAGCCTCACCATTTTCCTGTTATGGTTGAGGACAGTTCATTCTTTCACAAAATCTCTTTAAGAGTTAAGTGCTTTAAASTGTATTCACATATCAGCTGCAATATTTGCTTCACCTTTTATTTGTTCCTGGAATTAGTATTTTCATTACGGTCATGTCAGGTCTCTCTCAAGGTCCCTTTCATCCTAGTTTTTGATTTTTGTGTTTACTATTGATTTTCAACCTGGCTAAATTGGAGCCTTCTATTTTTGTCTGTTTGCTTTGGATAATTTTCTACTAATCTACACAACGACAAGGAGGCAGACTTTGATTATTAAGTGGAAATAAAAAAAAAATCTATCTGCACTTAAGCACAGATGCAATCTGTTTAATTGCATTATTAAAGGGCAGGCACCTCCCAAATTCCATATTTTAATAGGAGGAGGTGCAGTTCAGAAGATCCCACCACTGCAAGGAGAGTCTTTGAGTCCMTGCATGTAGACCCATGCAGTTTGGCTCTGCCAAACCATCTCCAAGCACCCTGTGCCTGTCGGTACATTTTTGTGGTGTCAGTTGTACAGGACAGCTTGAAAGCAAGACACTCGCTTCCATCTTCTCTACACGCCCAGGCACTCCCAGTTTAAAATTAAAAAAGGGTGCAAACACTTGGCTCATCATGTTTTYAGCTCAAGCCTGAATGCAGGGAATGTTAAGATGAATTGTAGGCCCCCACCCAAATCCAAAAATTGCTRGATTGTAATTGTAATGTAAATAAATCTGTTCTCATAATTGCCCTCTCCAACTTGTTCCAGCAACAAAGCAGTCATCCTGTATGTTGCCTAACCAACATCAACTGGTTTCAAAAGGGGAGGGCTAAAAATCAGGCATCCCAAGTCCTAGCTGCACAGGTCCTGATACAGGACTGCATCCTATTTAAGAGCATTGCACTCTATCATACACACACCTGCAGAATAAACTTCTGAAAAATCTGTCTGCAAGATACTTTATCTTAATAAAATGTCTGAGTCCTCAAGCTTTTTGTATAAAGGCTTTGCTTGGAATCTAAATCTAACTTAAACATTGGAGAGCTGCATTTTTGTGATTATCTGGATTCAATCAACACCGGTCATCAAAACTGACTCAACTGCAGTTTGACAAGGCAACAGTTTGAGTGCAAAGAGAAAAGGCACTGGTTTACTTTGAGTAAAAAAATTACGCTGCTAAAATCTTGTACGTAGAGGCTATGGGGATTTTTTGCTAAATTTTATTGAGCCTTTTATGCATAATATGGTTATAAAGATGATATAAAGTCAGATGTTCCAGACACTGAACCATCTTGCTAGCATTACATTCTACACTTACCAACTACAAGTGATCACAATCCGTACCCTCTTCAGCCAGAGCAAAGGAGGAACGAGTTTACCATTCAAAGACAAGCAGGAAAATCTCCCAAATATTCTGCACGGGTACCAATTACACTGTGTTTACAGAGCAAAGCCTTGTGCAAGCATCTAATTATGCCTCCTTATGCAGCCCTGCTAGGTCACACTATCCTATAGCACCCACTGAGCAGAGCCCTGGCTACAGACAGATGACATTCTGACTAGACAGTGTATTTTAAAGACTTTATTAATAATTTTACATATCTAAAATACATGTTTGAACACCGGTACAAAACTCACAATATAAAATATAAATAAACAAACAAAACATAGTATAGTGCTTTAGTTAATGAAGTTAACAGAAGTTAGTCAGCAAAATTCAAGGCCTTGAATCACTCTTCAAGCTAAAGCCTGTGGCAAACAGGCAGCTTTGCAGTACGCCCTGGACGCCAGAAGACTCAAGTTCTTGGTTACTAAAGAAATGAGATGAGAGGAAGGAGGACAGGAGAACGAAGAGCCCTCCAGACTGCAGAAGACAGGACATGCTTGCCAGAAGTTGCACAGAAAGATTTTTGATGAACATTTTCAGTGAAAAATGTTGATTTGCTAAAGTATCTTGAAAAACATGTCAGTTTTTGTTTAAACTAGGAGGAAATCTTGCAGGAAGCCTCAAAACTATGCACTTAGAATGACATTAGAGAATTCAAAGATTTTCCCTGAATTCTTTTTTCTTATATTAAAAGAAACTTCTTGCATAATTGCATGAGATGGTGTACCAAGACATTTGAGAAGAAGAGAATAGCTTATGACTGTTTTTAATGCCTGTATTTTGACCCTAWCTGGATCGGCCCTGATGGGGCTGATGGGGTATGATCTCAGCTTTGCAACTGGCTCTGCACAGTGGTGGCRACTCCTGTCCTGCCTCTGCTATCAAGGGCAAAGCTGCCTGCAGGGGTACAGGCCATCGGGCTCTGCTTGGATTGCAGCCTGATGTGGAGAGAAGGGGAGCTCAGCCTGGGGAGGCTGCTCCTCTCCCCAGGTCTCCGTCACAGGCCTAAGGATGCCAAACAACTGCAGTTCAGCAGTTACAGTTATAGCAAGTGCCTGCTCCTTCCTTCTCAGTCCTTCCAACACTCATGGTGCAGAGCCACACACTTAAGATGAAGCAGCAGCTTTCAGACTGGTCTCTGTTCTGAGATCACATGGATGTTTCCTCACTCACTGGCTCCTCTCTAACTATTTAGGAATCAAAAAGATCACAGTCTGCACATCCAGCCTTTCATCATTTGAGGGTCTTCATTGCACTTATGGACTTCATCTCTCACTACCACCTGACGGCGGCGGAGACCTCCAGAGCAGACTACACAAACTATCTGCTCAAGTAAGAGACTCCTAGCAGTGCAGCACAGCAGCTTGAGGCTTTTGTTAATGATAGGGTATTTCTTCTCTCACACTTCTGAGATCAGCAGTGGGGTCTCCTTCCTGGAGAAGGCTCCAGGTTGTGGATGCAAACCTGGAGATCAGGATCAAGAGGGCAGGAARGAGGTCTGGAGTTGGGATAGTCCTTCTGTACCCTTACAAGTGCCCTCTGTCTTGGCCCTGCACCCCATGCTATYGCCTTTGGAGCAGCTGGGGGCAAAGGCTGAGCTAGAACTACCACCCTCTGAGCACGATGGTGCCTCTGGTTTCCACACAGCGACGGCGCAGGAGAAACTGGAAACTGAGGCCAAGTCAAGAGAATCCTTTCCKGCTTGCCAGGGGTTTTCTGTTCCCCAGGCCAATGGAGCAATGGAGCAGCTGGAGGTAGAAGACGAGCTGGTGGCCAGGCAAGACAGAGCTGAGGGAGTCCTTTCTCGCCCACAGGATGAACAGGCTTGGAAGGGCTTCTCCCACACAGCAGTGGCCTGGTTGGTGCCAAGAGCTGAGCTGGCTCAGGAGCAGTCCTGCACACGCAGAGTCCCTTCCCGCCTGCGGAGCAGCCAGGTTTTTCAGCATTAGCCCCACATTTTGCTGGYGTGGCCGGAGATAGGGGCTGGGCTGGCTTGCAAGCCCACCTAAACCAGAAGCGTTTTTTCCTGCCCGCAGGACGGTCACCTAAGTGCACAGTTAAAAGTTTGTATCAGGAAGAGCTGAAAAGTCCTGCTCTGGGACCACCAAGGTGCAGGTAAGAGGCTGCCAGACAAGGGGGATCCACTGCAACACGCAGCCAGGAGAGGCTCCGTGACCAGAGAGCTTCGAGGACGCTTCCTCCGGAGCATCCAGCTCTGTAAGACAGGCTCCCCAGATCAGCCACTTGGCTCTATCATTTATTCAGGAGATTAAAGGTCTGGGCAGCTCCTTCAAGGAAGAAGGAGGCTAGGAACAATTCTACTTGATCAAGTCTTTTGGTCAAAAGAATATTATCCCAAACACCGGCAACAATTCTGGACTGTTTTCTACTGAAATATGATGATGGATCTTTTTTTTTTTTTTTTTTTTTTTTTTTTTTTTTTTGGATCAGAAGAGGAAAGATTTCCAATGGAAAGGGTCTTTTACCTCAGACCCTGCACAGAACACCCCAAACACACCCTTCTAGGCTTAGAAGATTTAGCAAGAGTTTGAAGGTAAGTCTTGAAACAAAGATTTAGTACCTGGAACATGCCATTTGGCAAAGCCAGCCTGAGTTACAACCTACACACCAATAACATCAGTTTTCTCCTGTATCATTCACTACCCTTAATTGTCGTAGAGATGTAGACGAAAGACAAGATCATGCGGTATAATTCTGTTTAACTACAAGCATCTCCACTGGCCAAGCACTTCAGAGAAAGCCATTGAATATATTTAATGCTAGACTTATTTATTACTTTAGGTTTCTAATAGCCCCCAAATCCCCCCATTTGAAGATAAATCAGCAAAATTAAATACATTTGATTGTGTCTAGATTTTTCCAACACTGATGAAAACTYAATCCATGTTTAAATATCCCAGAGAACACAGAAGTCTGTTTCTTTTTGAACTAGAAGCTAAGCAGACATGTCACAGGTCAGAAAGTAGTAATTAAAATGCACTTACATTTTTTCATAGAGGCACTTGCATCCAAGAATGGGTGATGGAAAAACTCATCTGAAAAAAGAAAATCAAGAACAACAACTCAATGAGTAAACGACCAGAAAGTTTACACAGCAGGAATGGGAATCAGTTATTGAAAGCCAAAGGACTGGGAACRTGTTGGGAGTCAGCATGAGCACATCCATGCTCCTGTACAGAGCTGAAAAGGGAATCCTAAACAACACAGCAGCACCAAAAGGGATCAAAATCCCTGGCTGGTCAGGATGGCAAGTCACCCTATCTGCAGGGATCCAGGATTACTATGTATTTATCACACCAGCCTGCYACTTGTTCCACAGAAGGGGCATGATGGTCTAAAAGGCTTCTTCTGAGTGAACATACACATAGCTGAGCACACAGTGCACTTAAGGCAGAAATGGATTTTCTAACAGTTCACCACAGGCTTACAAGCCCAGAACTCCCTTTCTTTTGTAATAGACTCAACTACCATTTCTTTGCTCACCATAGGAGGCTATTCCACATTGAGCAAAATTCCTGTCCTGACTTGCTATAGACCCTTAACATGTCTTCGTGCCCTCACAGCAGCCTTCATGCCTGACTCCTCTGTCTTTGATGCASTGCAATTCAGCACTGACTCCTCTCCTATCTCTGCCAGCAACTCAGTCTTTTGGAGCATTAGTCATGGATCAACACTGATTATTTAGCTAGCTAGAGGCAGTTCAACTTGTTTTCCCAGCACTGATTTCCTGTTGCAACACTAAGTTTACAAACTTCAGCATTCAGTAAACARTTCCTCTTGAGCCAATCAGTTTTCCTGAAAATAAGATTTTCTTTTCCCCCCCGCCTCCTCCTGTGTCCTTTGTTCTTCTTTCCTTTAAACTTAAGCCCTGTCTTCCCCACTCCTCCTCACAAGGCCTCAGAGTCACAGTGTGATGGTTTGGTGCTCAGCACAACAGAAGCGATAGGAATCTCTGGCAGGGAAGCTGGAATCTCTCAGATTAGATCTGCTGTGGATGGAGAACATCCCTGCTCTGACGGGAGCTCCTGCACTGCTGCGTTTCCGGCCTCTCCTCCAGCCCACCACTCTGGAGGGTTTCAGCTCCTCAGCTGAGTCTGTTCATCTGGTTACGCAGTAGCCACAGAGTGGGTGGAAATGACCATTTCCCTCCCTCTCCTCCCTCCCTCCTCCAGGCTGCTTTAATTTTTGCTTTGCAATAGTTACAACCTTACTTATCAGCAGGAAACTTACCACCTGAAACCCCCTGACTGTCCCTAAACAATCCTGAAATTGCAAAGACCTCTGCTGCTTAGTAAAACAGCAGTGGAGAAATCTCAGCTTCATTCCAGGCTGGCCTGCGAATCCTCTAAAAGGAGAGGAAAGCTCTGTGGAGGGATTACACAGGACCTCTGGAAACAGGGAGGAAGGAACATCTCATCTACAGGCTTCTGTGTAGGATATATAGACAAACTCTCCCTGAGGAACAGCTTCATCTTACAAGGATGCACTAATCTGGACAGAGAAAGATCCCTAGTGTGATTAAGGGCGGACAACAATCTCAGTCCAGCACGATGTGCCTTACCTGTTGTTCAGTGAAATCAAAGCATGTTATCCCAACTTCCCAAGTATTAAGAGACACTGACTCATAAAGTAAATACCGGAGAAGCATAAAAACAGCTTACAGAGGGCCAAAGGCTAGAGTCAGTTTTTGACAGCAGAGAAACAGGAATTTTAAGTGTCATTTCTTTTGTCATGCATGACAAAAGACATGGAGATCCACCACTCAGATAGAGGAACTGCAGGAAATGGAGGTGTGCTTGTGTTCCACTCAGCCCCACTRTAGCTTCAGCAACTCCCTTTTGAAAAGGCTTTTCTCATTTCTGCATCCTAGCAAGTTCTAGTCCTTTACATTGGATAATTACCAACAGTCTCTTAATCCACACACTTGCTTTATCTAGATGATAGCTTACCCAGAAAGGCTTCCCTGATATCTCTAATTCAAAAAATTACAGAGGCTGCAAAACAATTTCTCTTCAACTAGCACCACCTGAGCAGATAAGCAACAGCCTTCCCCCCGACCTCTGAACACTGACACTACTCACATCCTGATTTTTACCTGGGAACAGCATAGCCTCTGTTCTCGCCCAGGGAGGAGGAAGACAACAGCCTTACCTAAAGATGACCTGGTCCTTTAGGAGCTCTGGGAATATTTCCAGCTCTGCCTGCTTGCCCCTAAAAGGGGACTCCACTAGCTCTTCAGAGCTTTTGGCTTAGCTAAGCATATCTGGAAGAGGCTGCCAAAAACAACTGACTGGCTCCTAATAATTGTTCTCTGTCAGGAAGGAGTTAGTCATCAGAAAAAGGGCCTTAAGAAAGAAATCTCTATGCCAGGCAGATGAACGTTGAGACATAGACCTGCAAGGAGAGCCAGCTGTGAGCCATGGTGAGCACCAAAGTATCATTCCACAGGAACCTGGAGGATGGAAGGGGTTCCAAGCAGATGGAATGAACTGGATTATTATTGCAGACCCAAAGAGAGGCAAGATAACAACTAAATTATCTATTAAGTGGATGCAGCTTCCATCCACTTGGGAAGTTACCATGCCAGAGTACAATAGTACAAAAGTGTAAGAGTTATATATTTCACCAGGTAACACGCTTAACACAATAAAAATTGACAGATTACAAAATCAGAGGTCAGCAAAAAGGAAAGCATTTGCCAAAGGTGTGCCAGATCTCTGGGCTCACAAAACTTTATTGGAACCAGTACTGAACTTCCAAGCATATAATAAAGCCTCAAGATCATATAACCTTCCGGGCAGGTGAAGCACATGTGCCACCCGTCTGGATGTTTCTAGCAACACCAACCACAATTACGAAGGTCTGTGCAGAGCWACACGCAAAATGGGGAAGGCAAAGACAGGCAGCAGAACTAGAGCCTGGAGTCTCTTACCAAAGTCCATGCGRTCCTTATGATTGCGCTGCAAAAGACCCAGCAGCAGCTGCCTCAGGTGGCTTGATGTCTCTCTGGGGATGCTAGGATTAAAAACAAAATCAAAATGAGCATGAGCCTCAGACTACTTCAGCTGCTTCTATATATTCAGGAAGACAAACTACAAATGCAAAGCTGCTCTGTGCCTGCTGGGTAGGAAGAGAAGTGCTCACTGGCAAGAGGCTGAACAGGAACACTTCCATTTGCATCTCTATTTGCCTTCTACTTCCCAGTATCATCATTAATGCCATGGCTTATCTAGCTGTAAGTGGCCTGCCCAAGAGCACCTGCAGATTCTTCCCTTCCACAGCGGTGCCAATGTCATCTGCCTAGTTCTGAGATAAGTCCATGCAATGTAAAATACGCTGCACAAGATAAATTAAATCTTTCCTTCTTATTCTAATGAGAACAAGGCCATCATTAAAATGAAGCAGTTACTTGGGGCAAGCTTCCAATTAAGACCTTGGTGGTGAAGTTTTATCACCAATTACTACCATTTTATTAARGTATTTATTCTCAAATGCAGCTTACATAAACCTGCAAGTGACCCTTGTCTATGTGCTCTCTTGTTATACAATATTTATTAATCGAGGCCACTAAGATCAGAGCATCTGCCACCCAAGCAAGCTAAAATTAGTGCTGCTATTTCCCCACTCTGCAGTACAGCAGGGAAGGAAATTCACTCCTCAGTGCCCAGCAGAGCTGGTACGAGGCTGCTCTCCCCCTCACCCCACAAGCAGATGGGGGAAAGGGAGAGGCCAGGGCAGTTCTTCATAACCGGGATATACTACACAAAGCAGGGAATAAATGAATGGATTAAGGAAGGGAAAGCAGAGTTCAGCTCTTGCATAAGTGGATTCAGCCTTGTTGATTTTCCTCGTAACCAGAAGCGCTCCGAGGGGCCCTAACAGCCAGGCCCCGAGCGCAGCCAGMGCGGAGCTCTCCCAATTGAGCAGAGGTGGCTCCAGCTCCCTTGGGCATTAACGCTGTCGCTGGCAGCGCCGCTGGGGTCAGCCAAGGCAGCGGCCTGCGCTGGCAGCCCCGCGCGGAGCCCGAGGCACCGGGGCGCGCGGGGCCCCTCAGCGAGCGCCGGCCTCTCCCACCACACGGACCCGCCGGCGACGCGGGGCTGGGGCAAAACATGTGCGAGGGAACATTAATAGAAGCCTGTTCTGGCCGCAGTGTAACCAGAGCTGCTGCACGAGGTATTTATAGGCCTGAGCGCTATCTGGTTATTTTTCTGTGAAGTCCTAGGCCCTGCTTGTGCAGAATTTGAGTCCAGTGATTCCTAGAACACGGAGAGTCACGGCAGGCAGTCGTCATCCCTGTTTGTCCTGCAGGAGCTGCTTTTCCATCCCTGACAAAAACAGCTCGAGCTGCTTTTCTACCCCAACACAGTTACACAAGTCCTCACGGGCTGATGAAGGAAACCAGCAGCTCCAGAAGGGATGCAGTTAAAACTGAGACTTAATCCAAGCCAAGAAAAACAAAACAAAAAAACCCTTTTGTCAAGAAAAAACCTTTTGTCAAGAAAACAGAAGCAGACTGTGCAAGGGAGCCACGCGAGGCACYGCAGCTAACAGGCTCTCCTGAAAAATGCATTAGCAATGGGGACTCGCAGTCCTCCGCTCCAATCGTCATAATTTATTTATTCATGACGCACAAAACACTCACCCAAGATGAGTCCATTTCCCAGCAATGACTTTAGCTTTTATACGGATTTAAAGCCAAGAAACAGGCAGGTCAAGTGGTAGGCTGGGAAATCACAAAGCAGACTGAGGACAGCGCAGGTCAGCAGCCCRTCTGCCTCCTCTTATCTCACACCTCTAGGATGTCAAGCTTAGCCACCCCCTAGCACTATTTTCCAAGGCCATCCTGTTAAACACGATGGAGAAGTGCCTCCTTCCCCCCACAATCTAGCATGTATTTTGCTATGCAAACGAGTACAATCAGTGGTAGGTTTTAGATCAGCACTATTAAAATTGTGAGGCTTTTGGGCTTGCTCCTGCCCACATGAGCTCCCCAGCTCAGAGCAGCATTGCAGCAGCTGCAATCGCACCAGCCCGGCGGGTAGGGGCTGCTGGTGGGGATTTCGTGAGCTTGTCTATCCCACCCCATTCCCAAGCTGGAGCACGGCGTTTCCCATGGGATGCTGGGGAGGTGGGTGCCAAGCTGCCTAGCCCCAAGGAGGCTGAAACCCAACCCTGGCACTGCTGCAGGCTGAGAACAAGGTCTCCCGGGCGGTTTCATGTTTCATCCTGCGCTGGCAAGGCTCGGGGAGGCAGTTTGTTCATGTTTACTCAGGAAATAGCACAGATTGCAGCTCCCATTAAAGAGACCAACCAACTCTGGAAAGCGGGGGTCAACATGAACACAAAGGCAGCCTTGGATCCGAGTCCTGGGGTAAAACCCGCAACGGCCCTTGATCTTGGTGCACTTTGGTAGCTTAAGCCAGAGGTGGCAAAGGGAAATGGTAAATAGAGTGTGTGCACGGAGTCCTCTCCCTTTGTCCTGCACTAATCCCTGCAAGAACCAACACGCTGCCCTCTTGCTGTGGAGCTTTCATTCCTCCTCTTGGCTGCCTCCTTCCACATGCTCCACCAGCCAAGGTGGCAACAGTGCAGCATGGCCCTATCAGCAGCAGGAAGCTTGTTAATCACGGGGATTTATTTCTCTCTTAGTAACAGTAACTAATCCAAGGGTGGGCACCCATTTCTGTTTAAGGCCCTTTATGGGAAACAGCCTCCACTTTCTGCCTATGTGGCTCCAAATACATGGTCATTTGCTCCATTACATGCTCTGGTTCCACCTAGAAGTGTGTGCACTTGCCCAGGATTTAATCCTGATCAAAAATTCCCCTTCTCTCCAAATCAAAAAAAGAAACAGAAAGAAGCTAAATGTGTAACATAGGTCATTAATAAGAGCTCTGGCTTCTTGATGGCTCTTTCCACCATGTCTCAGGGCTGTCCAAGCTGATAAGGAAAAATCATATACAGCAACCCAATGAGTTTCCTGCACACGTGGCTCCATTCACAACTCTGCCAAACAGAAGCAAACTTTTGGTTTAAAAAAAATCCTTCTTATTATTTAGTTCAGCCCTGTCTCCACACCAAGTTGAGATTTTGAACAGCAGACACGAAGCTCTGCCTTAAGGGCTCAAAAGAAAAGACCACAGCAACAAAACCAAAATATACTGACAAATCACAGTGCTCAGTGGCAGCTGGCTCCTCTGCTAGGTAACATATACTCCTGTAGGATGAGAGCAGATACCTTCCCTGCATGCCCCCTGGAAACTGCAGTAGTGTCCATTTTTATAGATAGAGGTTGGRTATTTCCTCCTATTAGCATGATGGACATGAGCAGTTGCTGTCCCAACATGTGACAAATGGGAATGCAGCCTCCAGTCAGGTAGGGCAGGTTACAGGAGACACTGAGGCTTGGCTGCTTGCATGAGTGGCCATGATTTCTTCCCAAGAATCATTTCCACCCTCAGGGAAAACCATATGGGGAAAGAGACCCCCAGCTGTCTCCCAAAATCACCAACAGTCACTTCTAAGTAACAGGAGGGAAGGAATATCTGGGGGAAGGCAAAGGCAACAAGCCAGGTAAGTGGCTGCTGTCAGACTTGCTCTGAGCTACATTACTGCTGGTTAAGCAATGGAGGAAGGCAGGTGGACAAATATTTAACATTTATATTCCTGAGCAACAAGCCAGGAGCATGAGGGGACAGGTGTAACTGCAGTGTAAGCAAGTGGAAGCAAACAGTGACACTGGAAGAGCGCTTACTTCGGCATCAGCATCTTGTTTTTCTCATAGAAGAGACGAAGATCTTGTGGGCTGCTGGCCTATAGAGGAGAAAGAAAACCAGTGTATGAAGCAGTTTACAATAAAGCAAGAGGATTAGTACTTTCATTTCACAGTTACTGAAGAGCAGAGGTAGCTTTGCAACTGCTGAACCAGCACAATGCAAACTTGCCGTCCGCTTTAGATTGCAAAGCCAGTGCTGTGGCGGAGCAAGAATACCCCGTTTCAGGCTTTATGTCCCTGACCTGATTGTGTTTTGCTCTCTCCTTCTGAGCCTCATTTCAGTGGGTTCTGATGCTCAGGTCTAAGCTGGCCTAATAGCCTCACCCAGCAGGCCAAATAATTGAAGACGTGAGGGCTGCCTAAAGATGAATGGCAGCTCCTGCTGAGAACAAGGATTAGTGCTGCAGTATTTAGAAAAGGGGCAGGGAGCCCAAGACTGTGTAGAAACTGGGAACACAGGGAAACAACAACTCAATCAAACTTTTCTAACTTAATTCCAAGAAGCCAGAAGGTCTAAAGTCACAGTGCCTCTTTCTGCACAAGAAGTTTGCAATCACCAATGTAAAGACACGAAAGTGTCATGTCATTTCTCCTTTTGATTTCATATACCAAATGAGACAGGAGCACTAAATCGACCCAACCATCTCGAGCCTTTGTGCTTAGGTAAAGCCTCTTACTAGGGGCAGAGTAGCCCGGATGGTGTGTCAGACATGAAAGTGCACACAAACAAGGAGGGAAGATCACAGAGATGTGTGTGCAAACTACTGTTGCAGGAATGTTTAGGAAAGGATGAATGAGCAGGCAACAGTCAGCAACTCCCAAATGCTGAGGGCCAAGGGAACCTCGAGCCTTCCACCCACTTCTATTTCTAAATTGGAAGCATTTAAGGTCAGTTAAGATGCTTAAAATGGCAAATCTGACAAGCCAATCTGTAGATGGCCATCGATGCCAACACCACAGCACGGCTCAAAGAGCAGCTACACAACACGCTGTTTCAACATCACCTACTCCCTCTGGCTGAAGATGAAAAATTCAGTTAAGGGTAGCTGTGAGGGCTCAGCACAAAGCTCCAAGAGGAAGGAAAAACCACGCATGGAAAGTCTCAAAAGCAGCTAACGTCAGACTGGCGAGTATTGATCAGGACAAGGCTTCTTGCACAGAGCCATCCAATTCTACCACCAACCTGCACCAGCAACATAGGACAAGCATTGCTATGTACACAGACCCTGGCACGGAGTGACTGGATTCCAAGCAAGAGAATGTAAGAAAAGTCTGTTCTTCCTCTGCAATAATCCACCCTCTGCTGTTCACAGACTCAGCAGGGACCCRAACAGGTGATGCAAAGATATTACGTTCTTCACAAACCATTAASTGACTGCTGTTCAGCACAGCACATTGTTCTATGCAGAAGCAAACCCGTGCAGCAGCATTCAATTTAGCTCAATAAAAGCCCAGCTTACACCTTTCCCCTTGCAGATCTTCCCTGTAGTTAAATTCTTAATATTTAGCAAACGTAAACGAGGCAAGTGCCCACACGGCACCACACGGCTCGCCCTGAGGCTGCTCTCCACAGAGSACCGTGTGGGCAGACACCATCCCAGGGGAGCAGTTCCCTGCAGCGAGGCCCGGGCTCGCTCCCGTGGAGCTCCACAAGCCCCGGCCGCTTCCCGTCACAACCACCCCATTGTTTTGGAAATACAATGAACCTCTGAGCTACTTCAAACACCGTTTTGTCATTTTTTTTCTGACAAAAAAGACAGTGAATATTAAGAGCAGCACAAAGCTCAGTTTATTAGAGGGGGTTTCTAAGCACTGGCTTGGAGAAGAAACAAAATCCTTCATACGTTTTCCCAAATTTTGCACAATTCCACACATTAGTCCCCCATAGCTCCTGGAYGTGCCCATTGCTTTACTGCTGTTTGCAACCACTTCATAAACCACTGGTACCCTCAGCCACTTTGCTCAGCTCCTCCTTCAATAGACAACACTGCTCTGCTCATCATGGAAAATGCAAAAATATTTGAGAAGTGTTAAAAATGCCATTTGAATCCCTACCTGCTGGGGCTAAAGACTTCATTTGAAACCTACCTTTCAGGCAGACAGACACATACAAAAACACATTTAAGCCACCTAACACCTGGACCATCCAAAGTGCTCGGACCCATCTGCTACCTGTAGGACAGCACCCATCTGTCAGGAACAGGGATGCAGAAAGGAGAGCTCAGTTTCCCCAAGAACAGAAGAACCAGCAGGCCAATTCATGCCCTTGCTCCCTCCTCTTGTGCTACTCTGGAGCAGCTGCGTTAGTGCAAGCAAGGCTTTCTGTTTGTTCTTTCCATATATAAAACCAACGGGAGAAGCCCAATGCTGCCAGTTAGTGGCCCGTCCTGGGCAGCAGGGCGCCCTGTTTAGCTGGTAAGGGCATCCAGCCCAACCCTGCCAATGCCACCAGGTGCCGGCTGCCTGCAAGGCCATTTCAGCCCCAAAGCAGTGGGAAACATTTCACCTCGRCACAGGATTTGTTGCATCCAGGAAAAATCTGGATGCCCAGGGCTCAGTCAGGGCAGCCACAGGTGTTCACGCTCTCAGTGGACAACGTATCACAGCAGGTAGGATGTTGTTGCTCTTTCATTTGAGGTCTTTCCTTCAACATTCAACACTATGTGTGTGTGTGTCTYCAGTCTCTCTTAAGACTGCGCTCATGTAACTCTAGCCACATTGAAAACATCATCCAACAAGCACTGAATTAGATTTGGGGAGATTTCTTGACCCTGYTGTAAATCTTTCTCTTCCCTTTGCCTACCTTTAGTTTTGCTTTTCACCCGCCTCCAGAGGCTTCATCTCTTCATGTTAAGCAGAGGTCACTGCTAGAGCCCCCAGGTGCTCTCTGGCAAGGCCAGCAAACACACAGCCCAAGGCCTGAGTGACAGAGATGAGGCCCAGGCCACYTACCCAGCCAGGCAAATTAACAATTCCACATTAACGCAGTGCTCAGCAAATCTGTTTATAGGGATTCTGAATCCTGTTAATCTCATCCTTCTGGCAGTCTCACTGTTTTGTTTATGGGCACGTTTAATACAAAAAGCTCCTTAAGACAGCTTCACCAGCCAGCCTACCAACTGTCCACGTCCGACAGCCTCAGCAGCTTCTCGTCCACACGCGAGGAGGTAAGGAAGAGGCAGGAATAGCTCTGGGAAGTTACCTTGGGTGACCCACCTACAGTTAATTTTAACTTCGAGACAGCTAGAAATCATATTGACACATACACACACACACACACACACACACACTCCTCTACCTTGATTTATAAGCATTTTCTCAACTGACAGCTACCTCAGCCCTTCCACACATGTTTGATCTTTTCTCCAAGCCCCTGAAGCCCATTTTATTTTTAGTCTGCTCCTTCCTCCTTGCTACACTCGAGTCCTCTTGGTTTTGCATTCCTGAGAAGCAGCCCAGCTGGATGACACAGTGAACTAAGGGCCTAAAAGCAGAAGGTCACAAGCTGCGCTCCAGGTTCTGCTGGGGATTCCCACCTGAAGGTGCAGCAGGGACCTCCTCACAYGTGAGGGATGGACACAATTGGGGGGTTTCAGCCTGAAGTCAGTGTCTGAAATTCCGTTCCTGGTTGTCCTGTACAGCTGGGTTTGCTGGTGGCACCACTAGGTCTCCTGACTTTAGGCAGGTGAGGAGATGAGCAGCTGATTCCAACCGTGCCGCTTCCTATCAGCGGGGTCCCCAGCACCCGCATGTAGGTCCAGCACCTCTGTCCACCACCTCTATCTCCACAGACTTCTCACCTGCTTGGAGACCWTCAGCCACCACAGCAAATTCTTTAAATGCAATCTAGCTAAACAAAAAGCTGGTTAACTTTTAACTACTTTTTCAACATCTTGACCTAGACAGGTTTCATTCACCTGAAACTTGCCGCTGGGGAAAGGCAGTTCGCAGCACACATGGTCAAAGCAAATAGATGGCACGTGGAGAACCATCTGGGGCGAGCTCTTCCTTCTCCCTGATCAAACACGTCCACAGCTGTTACCACGCTAACAAATGAAGTCTGGCATTTTGTTTCAAAACACAACCCCCCAAAAGAGCAAAGGGCATGGGGAAAAATTAACATAGAAAAAAAAATCTGGCCCCCCTCCTCCAGCCCAACACATGTCAGATGGACATGTGAAAGAAAGAAGGTGCCCAGGCAGCCACAAGGACCAGGACCTGCTGGGCAAGCACCAAAATGCCCCATTCCTGCTCGCTGCAAGGGCACCTTTGCTGGAGGGATGAATGCAGCCAACTAGTGTTTAATTTTATTATGTGGGAAAAATCGTAAAATTCTCAGAAAAACACTCCTTCTATGCACTTCAGTGACTAATGACAAGAGCCACCTACTTCTTATAAAAAAAAACAGTTGCCTCAGAGTTAAGTGCAAAACACCTGTGATAAAGTCACCATGTCACTGATACCTATACAACTTCAATGAGCAGGAGGATATCAAGGTGTCTTCAGAGACCAAAAGACTCCATTGCAAGAAGAAACGAGTGCCAGACTCTTTCACGCATGCAGGGCCAACCTTTGCTTTTTCCACTCCCACATTTTCACCTTAATGCAAATATTTATTTGCTTTTATCTTCACAGTTATTTTCTTCTTTCTTAAAGACATATACATATATACACACACACACCTATATACACACAGACATACATATAAAACACACACAAAAAGCACTAAGGAAATGAASTGTTGCTATGAATACACAGTAAGGAAGAGGGAATAAAGATTACAAAACACTGACATAAAAGGTTCTTAGAACAGTGAGGGAAAAATATCCTGGAGGAGAAAAGCCTTAGCACTGATCTAAAACCAAAGTGTGCCATTAGTTTACATTCATATTTTTCCATATTGCAGCATCCTTCCTGCCACAAATTCAGAATTCACTTAAACCTTCCTGATTCTGCARCTTCATATGAGACTTTGAATGCCTATGAAAACCTAGAGTTGAGTTGAAGGCCTGAATATTCTGCACTTTATACAGCTTGAGTTATTACAAGAGCACAGAATTGTCCTCACACCACTGACTCATTTTTTTCATTTAGGGTGAAGATATGTCAGGACTGGTAAAAAGCAAATAAAGGTCACAGTTCACTCATCTGCTGCACCTGATCTAAGAAGCTGAAGAGTTGGTGTCAATGACACTAACTCAGCGTGCAAATGTGAGATTTGGTCTGATCCCATATTCCATGGGCCAGGAAGAAAGGAGCTCTGCAGAGCTCACAGCTGAAGATGTGGCAGGACATCAGTAACGCAAGCATCTCTCTGCTAGGATGTAAACCAGCAAGGGAAAAAGCGACAAATACAGTACTTCAAAATACTGCTTGCAAGGGAGAGCCTAAAGATCTCATTAAGAAAAGTAGAGAGATTGTTGGGTCAGCATGGAARAGAGAAGTAACATGAAGTGCTCTCTATGGCACACTAATGATTGGCAAAGAGAAGTGCACTAAATCCAGCTTAACTCCAGCTACATATAAGATTAAAAATAGGTGAAGCAATCCTGAAACAACTTGCATGGGGTTGTGGCAAAGTTTTCCATCATTTGCACATTTTAAATGAAAGAATGCCTGTCACAAAGATACACTCTAGCTCGGTCAGCTGTTATATGCAGAGGTATTTGAGCTTGATGACTGTAAACATTTAAAGCTGGAAGGGATCCCTATGCGCTGACAGATAAGATCCTTTTGATATGACCCTATTTAACTACTTCAAAAACAAAGCCAGTTCAGCTGCAATACACCACTTGTCACCAAATCATCCATAAYATTAACATGTAATTAGAGTCTTCCTTATTGTCCTTACATATTCAACAGAATTATAATTATCAATTACACTCTCAGGACAGCTCTAAATAGAAATGAATTTTAAAGCACTGGCCTGAAAACACCACTGCTTTAACTAACCCAAGATAATTTTCTGCTGGGGTGACCTTTGCTGAGGGCTTATGCCCAGAAGATACATTTCACAGACACGTAGCCTGGAGAAGTGTCATCTTCCAGCATCACTTCCAGAATTACAACATATAAAGCATCACACTGTGGTGTGTTGGACAGCCAGACCTCCAAGAGCCTGCAGGGCTCAATACTCTAAGTGACAGAAGCCTTAGAATTAGTGGATTTTWAAAAAGTGAAAGAAAAAATCAGAAATATTAAATCTAAACAGCTTACCTGAAACGGAGCCTTTCCCGTCAGACACTGATAGATTATGGTTCCTATGCTCCAGAGGTCAGCTTTGGCATCATAGTGCTGAGACATGATGACTTCAGGTGCCTTTCGGGGGGAAGAGAAATCTGTTTATTAAAGTGGCTTTTTTGGGGGGGTCAGGGGAGGAGGGGTCAGGGCAGGAGCAGCTGCAAGAAAGAACCAGATACCACCAATATTCTTTAAAAAGCCCCGGGCAGGTTCCCCAGAACCCGTCAGAGATCTGCTCCCACTTGGGCAGACAGTAGCGCTACCTCCTCGACAGGGGCAATTCCACATCTAGGGTGGGTCAGCAGAGACAAAACCCYAAGGGAGCAACACGACCCCACTAAACCCAGGCTGTCCTGTCCACTGCAGGCTAACCCCGGCCACCCCCTTCACAGGGGACCCTTCCCTGTCGATCCAGGCCACGCGGCACCCACRGAGCTGCCCAAGCAGAGCCAGCAAGAGGTGAACGATGCAGCAGACAAGGGCTCGAGCCGTGCGGGGAGCCCCGGCGCTGCCCCAGGCRCCGTCACATCACCCGTCTTCCTCATTTATCCCAACATGGCAGGATATTAATTACGCAGCAGAGGCCAGTGACACCGCTGGGGTTCTAAGGAGGATCCGTTTCACTGCGCGTGGCTGTGCCCTGCTAGCCCACAGAGGCTGGTGTCTAATCTCACACCGTGCCCTCGATTGCTCTCTCCCGGGATGGTTCCAGAAGGTGGAAACAGCGCGAGTGCCCAGAGCCTCGTGGTCCCCAAGTCCACGTGCCCCAGGAGCAGCCGCAGGGAAGGGAAGGCTGGGCAGGCTCATGAACCCCAGACACCAAAATAACAGATTCAGCCCTGTGCTGCCAGCCCGGCAATGAACCTTCTGGTTCTGCCACGAGGAAAGGCCACATGGAATGGAAACAAGCGGCAGCAAACAAGCTGGGCAGCAGAGCTTGTCCTTAAGGGAAGCAGGCACCACACTGAATAAAGCTGAGGGGGAAAAGGGGACATGAACCATGCATGGGGGTTTCACATCTCACAGGACACTGACCATATCGTGCTTGGACACAAAGCTCATTTTCCTGCTGGTAACATACTTTTCTTTTTAAGAAAATGAAAAGAACTGCTATGGGCTATGAGCTAAGAGAAGCAATATCAGCATTGCTAGCAGATGTTCCCAGGGCTAAGGCACAAGACCCACAATAGCATTAGAGAGACTTCAAAACCCCTACTCTAAATCCCAGTTTAACCCTCCCTTGCCCTCCTCCCTCAGATCTTGCAATAAACAGAGAACAACATGGAACTTTCCAAGCTTACAAGGCCGCTCCAGGGCTCTTTACAGAAAAGAAAAGAAAAAAACCTACAACCACACAGGGGTCATCAACAGTTCCCTCTACTTCTCTCAAATAATGAGTTGAGTGTTTTAATTTACTTCCACAAGAGCCTCAAAAAGAAAAAGCATCACCAAAAATAGACAATTCAGGAAACTCTCACTAGGAGAAAAAAGTGACATCATCTACACAGATAGCACAGTCAAGTAAACAGCAGGTTTCAAAAAAGAAAAAGGGAGGAAACAGGCTTGGCACAAGGTTTGTATGGTGGAGCAGATTATCAAAGACGCCACCGCTGCGCAGCGTGGCCCAGCCCGGCCTAACTGTGCCTGAAGGGTTCAAGAAGAGCTTAAGGGGCCTAAACCATGCTCAAGTTCATGTCCTTGCTCTCCCCGGGGTATTTCTGAAAACTTCAGCCCAAATTGATCCACATCAACTTTTTATCCTGAGTTCAGACACCCACATCCCTGGAAACTATTACACAGTTTGTTTTGTCATTTTTATTTCTAACCTACTTTTGTCATTTTTAATTTTAGTGCCCTGATGTGACACTGAGGTGTTTGTGTTTATGGAAACAGTCAACAAGACATCACCTCCTCTCATCCTGCTCTTCTACCCGGTAGAAGGTACAAAGGAGGTATCAGGGATCCCTTTGTTTTTAAGGCATCTATTTCACAAAGAAAGAAATCACCCCAAAGCACTCCCTTCKCTGAAAGAATATTTGGAGGAGACACAACCTGTGAAGTGCAAATAGAGGCAGGTGAGCTCTATTTAGAGTTGCATGTGTAGCAAAACATATTTAATTGCTGCTATAAAAACACTGCAAGAATGGCACCATCACCATTGCCCAAAGGGATTTTGAGAGACCAAAGAGCAAAAAGGTTTGGGAACTCTGCAAACTTGCTTCTGAACAGGGATCTTTATGCTGATGCTTTGGGCTTGGAAGAGCAACTGAAAGGTCCAAAGTGAAAGGGTTTTTTTTCTTTTTGTAACCACTGTCTCAAAAAGGCCTGTTGAAGAACAGCAGCTGAGGCTCCTCTCCAAGGAAGGGCCTCAGAGAGTACCAGATGTGTGAAACATCATCCTGATTTTCCCTCTTTCATTGCTGCTTTTCCTGTAAGGAGGAAATATTAGATTTCACGTTCTAGCACCTTCCCTGGACAGGCCCTGCTTCTCTGAAAGATTCAGTGGCTGCAAACACAGGGGGATCAATACTCCATTTGGTTCAGTTATTTATCAACAGCTCACCTGGAAGTTAGGTAACACAGCACCTACCACAGGCACTCGCCACCTGTCATTACAGGCTGCTAGGACTTTAGAAAGTCTCCCAGTGTAATAGGTGTTTGACAAGCAAACAAAATTCCACCCTTGCAAGAAATTTGGGAAGGCAAAAGAGAAAGCAGCTACCATGACGTTTGTAGGAAAGGCTTTGGGGGAGCAGAGTAAGAAGGGAGGAGAAAGCCCCGCGAGCAAAACCCACTCACCATGTACATGGGTGACCCGCACAGCGTTGCTGCCATCATGTTATTCTGCAGGTATCGAGCAAACCCAAAGTCAGCTACAAAAAGAAACGAAGAAGTGGGTCAGGATCAGTCACCATTTCTAGAAGGTCTGCATCTTCCTCAACCTGCCCTGCTCCCCATGAATCCTTGCAGCAAGCGATTCCATCTTTTCCACAGGACACTATTAACCATATCCCTGAACAGTGATGTCCTTGTGTTAGTTATTAATGTATGGTACAGACATTACAAAGCGGAAAACAAAGATACAAAAAGTATTCTGAGGAACAAATTCCCTCCAATTTAGAAATCGGTCAATTTTCCTGCAGCTATTTGTCCATATTCCAAAACATCAGCAGACAGAAACTGATGACAATCCTCGACTGCAATAAGAGCGTACCAATTCACACTGGCTAAAGCAAAACTCACGATCTACAAATGTGTCAAACCATTAGGAAACCACAAAGATTTTCACATCATTAATTTGTTGCTACCTCCAGTTACAATTTGGGGAACTAAAAGCTTCCCTCCACTGAAAAGACTGCAGAGTAACAGGCATCCAACAGAGGCTGCTGCTTGCCACCATCCCCCTTTCTGGAACGTGCTGACTGAACACTGTCTTGCTCTGTTCTTTTAGCAGACTTTTAATAAATGACAATAACTGATATGAAGAGAGAAAGTCGAGCCACTACTTCACCTGATAGATAGAAAAGCCAGAGACTATGAATACCAAGATGAATTACATCTGCAGGTTACTCAGCATCTGATCATATGATGTTTAGAGGTTCTCTCAAGGTTACTAGATATTTCGAGCAAGGAGATTATTTGACACAGTTGTTTACACTGTCATCTGTCACTGACAGACTGCCTATAGCCTCTCCTGGGCCACACACTACCCAGGGACGTGGGAGGGAGCGGGTCGAGGGCAGGACAAGCTGAAGAGCAGCCGTGTTCGTGAACCAGGATCTGCTCCAGGATCTCCTGCCAAGTCCTGCAGCTTCAGCCACTTCCACCTCCGAGAGACTTCTGCATTTCAGCAAATGCTTCAACTACAGCCTGCGGCAGCAGATTTCAAGCAACCTTTTCCACTGAATCTCATTTCTCAAACAAATGAGGGCATTTACACTTTCTCCACAGGGTAGGCAAGGATTAGTTTTATCTAACTGGCATTAACTTCAGCTTGTGAGCGGTAACATAACAGGACAAATGTCTGTGTACTGAGAATGATGTTATCTAGCATTCATTTCATAGGGACCACAGGGGATCTCTGTGCTCAGTGATGGGATTTTGGGAGCATTTGTCCCAACTGCCAATCCATCTGTGCTGCTTGATGCCCTCTGTGCCTAATATGCACGAAAAGAAGCCTTCAAATTGCAGCTGAGAAGCCCTTCTCTAATTTAAATAGTGGACATAACTGTGCCTCACTCCCACTATCATCTCTGAGGCCAGCAGCTACTTTTAGGTCTTACAGTTCTTGAGAACTTGAGAATTTGACCAACAAAAGTCACTACATGAACTCATTTGTTGGCAAGGCTGGAGATCACAAGCCAAACTGTGCTGGTTGGTATTTGTTTTTACCAAGTGAGGCACATTCAAGGCAGGAAAACCCATCCAATTTTTTCCCCACCAGTTTCTGCCCTGGGAGGGCAGAACACACTTGCTCCAACTTGGAGAAAGACTGGAGCTAACTGAGCTTTGGTCTTTCTAGTACAGGAATTAACAAAGTAAGTTGGAAAGCCTTAGGGCATATTAAAAAGCCCAGATTTTTTTTTCTTTTGTTTTCATCTAGACAATTCCCCCCAAAAAAAATTGAGGTTTGCTGCTCATTAGCTACCAAGCTCTCCTGAGAGCTCTTAGGATGGCACTTTTACCAGGGTCTTACCAATCTTTATGCGAATGTTGTTGGGATTCGATTTCTTGCCTCCAGCATAGGAAAGAAGGATATTCTGTGGTTTCAGGTCCCGATGGATGATGCCTTTACTGTGCAGCATTTTCATGGCACCTGCGATCTGCTGCAGAAAGAGCCTGATGGTGTCTTCACTAAGTGTCCGCATAGCTAGGGAGGAAGGAGAAAAAAAAAAAGATGAAAAATCATAATGCCAGTTCTCTGAAGAGCCCAGAGGGCAGCTTCTCCACAGCAATTAGCCATAATTTGGCATTTTTACTTCCACATGCAGCTTTTTTCTTCACCACACTATTTCTGAACAATCAGTGCAGAGATTAGTACTGTGGGAAAGGGAAGTTTTGCCCTCCCTTCTCCCCACAGCTTTATACACACTGTGGCCACGGCTCGAGCTCAGGCCAGCAATGAACCTGAACTTGAGTTATCAGCTGGGTCCAAAACTGACACTTGATGGGGTTAGGGCTTCAGAGGCATTTCAGGCACAGTAAGGGCCACAACCACCAGGCATCTGTAACGTAGGGATTTCACTAAATCAAAATCTGGGCCTAACCTTGGTGCATCATCACCCTCTAGTCCAAACCATAGTGCTAATCCCCATGTTTGGSGGAGCCACAGCTCTGTGACACCTAAACTAAGTACCCGACCAAGCGGCCCCTGCAAACTCCAGCTTGACACTCTCAGTCCTGCATCCACAGATATGAAGGAGCAGCTACAGTAGATCAGAACCCTTTTTAAGCAAATACATTTTGAAAAAATACTAATAATCAAACCCTTTCAAGTGTATAAGCACCGCACTCTCCCTGTGAGACAGGCTTCCTAACAACTGTGGTGTGAAAACTAAGACATACTGATGGGATTAAAGTGTCCAGCAGGCTCTTGCAGCCAGACTGACACGCTGTTAGCTCTGGTTATTTTAAGAACCGTGCGCAGGAAACTCTCGCCAAAGTCAAGAGCAGTCTGCTGAACAAGCCCCAGGATCAGTAGTGCTCCTGCCCTGCCTCGTTGTCAGTCAAGCTTTAAAAAGCACCATTCCATTTGAATAAAACTATCTCTTTTGTAAAAGCCCCCTGCAAATTACTTGGGACTTCATTAGTGTTGTTCCAGCTGCTCTCTAGTGAGTCCTTAAACCCAGCTGGCAGGAGTTTCAAACTGGTAACCTACCTAGTCAGCTAGAAGGGAGGAATTCTTATGAAAACACAGATGAGGCTACAGGCAGCTTTAACACAACAGGAAATTAAAAATCTAACTTTTAAAATATGTGCATGGGAAACAGCAAGGAACAAAGGTCAGTTAAACAGCATTTAGAATGGAAAATAAACTCCCACCGCTCCCAGATCTCCTGCCCTAGCAGAGGCACAAGCAGAGCTGAAATGTCACCGTGGGTACCAGCTGGTCCCAGCTTCGTACACGTGACACAGGCGCACATGTCTGCAGAGTTCCTCTCCTCCCTGGGCCTTCTTCTCCATGAACTGGCCCTCAGCTGCAATTCAAAAGGCTCCTGTGCAAGAAGGGGAGAGTCTGCAAAGGGATTTTAAAGACCAAGAGGCAGCTCAGAGGCATGTGTACCAAACCCACTGCTATCTTCCCCAGAAAAGTGCTGCCTCATCTGCAACAAGGCTTTTCCCAGGAGGGCATTAAGTGACAGATCTCCGGTTGGCACATATCATGATACTCATTCATGCAGCAGTTCGTGTGGGCTAAGGGGCTTGCATCGTGGCTTAGCTGGGCTCAGTCTTCTGCTTCTATGCAAAATATTTCTGCAATTCCCTTCTCTGCCATCCTCGCACACTCCACATTCCTACCCACTATTTGTCCAAATAGAGCCCCAAGTGAACGGAGACTGGGAAATTTTCYGGGAACGGTTAAAACAGGGACTGCTGCCTTTAGACAAAACAGCAAGGGCTCCACTACGTTTTGCCCAATTCAGTTCAGGCCCAGAAGAGGACAGCCCARCTGTACCTTTATCTCCCAAACAAGAAGCAAGACTTGAAACTTGGCAGGACTTACCATTATCCAAGGCAGATAATGAACTCCTGGCTAACTACCCCTTGCCTCTAGCAGAGGCGCTGTTTTCTTTAGAGCTTTGTTCTGACCTGCACTCCCAAAGCATGCCACATTTTTTAAGGCGTTACCCTCTCTTTTACACAGTTTGATGTTTATAAGAATTTAACACAGTGCCAGCCACCTTCTCTGTGCAAATACACTAAGCCTCCTTAATAAGGGCTCTAAGCCTTCACACTGGAAAAAAATGATACCAAGGTTAGAAACCCCATTCATCCAGACAAAACAGGGTCTCTAAGCTTGCACTTTCTGCAGAATTTAGGCCTTGGCACTTAACAGAAGTTCTGTGTGAAGCTCTTGAGCTTGCAAGGACGTTCCCTAGTGTGAGGGGTCTCCCGGGCTGCCACGGCAGCGTCGCAGAGCTCGGCTTCCCGCGGGGCTGCCCCGGGCGGGCGGCTTTGCAGGGAGATCCTCTTTTACCTCCTGCCGTAACAGAGTCGCCGCCACACAGAGAAGCCTGAGGTCTGAGCCCTCACACCCAGCCCGKGAGCCCAGGGAATGGCAGCAGCAAACTCCAGGACTCAGAAATAAAGAAATGGGACACTTTGGGAGGCTTTGAGAATCTCAGTCTCCCCCTCAAGTCTTTCTGATGTCTTTCTATCTTGCTTCAGCCTTACCGGGTCTCTTTTCACCTCAGTGTTTCTTGCCACAAAGTCAGAAGCAGCAACACTAGCCATACTCCGCTAGCACAATTTCCAAAAGTCTGGGACATTCCCATATTGGGCAGCCAAAGCTTCACAGGCCAACCAGTCATGAGCAGCCGGAGGGAGAACATACAGAAGATCCCCTCAGTTCAAGTGTTGCCAGAACAAACGCAGAGACSATGACCGCTTGCCTATCCCATCCTAAACATGGAGCTTGCACTTTGGTCCCTGCAGAGAGGAGCCAGCTCATCTCCACACAAAACTGTCTGCAGGACATTAAGTCTACACTGAAGTCCAGGCATCCCCCTAGACAYCCACGGTCAGCAACATCTCACAGGGAGCACCGCTTCCCAGGCCTGGTGCTGCCATTACTCAGAAGTAATAATATCCCTGTGTTTATTTTCATGGGCTGCACTTGTGGACAGGACACTCAGCTTTCTGTCCCGGGAACGGCTGCTACACGGGTCAGGAGAGCAGAACAAATATTTACAGCAGGTCAGCACAAGGGCTGTGTGCCTGRGCGTTCCTGAGGCACAGAAAAAGGATGAAACCACCTAAAAAGCGACTTGGAAAGCACTGCTCAGCAGTCTAACAACTGCCCGGAAGCATCTCCTTAATGTGGGTCCGATCTAAATCGGACTGAAGTCAAAGGAACTAGGCTGGTCCCTTGGGGCCCATCATGGCAGGTTGTATCTTCAGAGGGTTCCATCCACCCTGAATATCAGGGGTGTGACCCTTGTAAAGTCTCCCATACTAACCAGGAGACTTATTCTGGAGAGATCTACTCTTCTCACAGCTACTCTTAATTATTTTGGCATAAGAAGAGCTCTACAGAAATGCACTGCATCTCTGATTTGCAAAAAAGCCACCAAGACCATTGGGGATTCAATAATCTACAAGAAAAATCATGTCTTATGCATGCCACAGTCTAATAAAGAAATGCTAATCTTAGATGTGAGTTCCCTTCACAGAGACAACTCGATTAGGAAGCAGCTTTCTAGAAAGGTCAGGAATATGCATTTATGAACTTTTTGTTACTGCCCAGGTCAGGGAATTTATAAAGAGAATTTTAGATATCAACCTGATCTGACCTCCTGACCATCAGAAGCCCAGAATTTCAGCCACTTATTCCTGCAGTGAAAACAGTAACTTCTGCAATACTTTCCATAGCTCTGTCATGCACTGCAGAGATCTGCCACGCTCACCTGCAGCTGTGRTGGCTGTTTTAAACGAAGCCACCAACTACAGAAGAAAAAGCGTCACAGCATTTAAATCCACACAAGGTGGTTCCTTTCAACAGGACACAAACACTCACAGAAGGCTGTATCAAAGAGATGAGKCTGACTGATACAGAAATCCAACAGAAATGCAAAGTGCATTGAAACGTGCACATAYGCACGTCTTCCAGTTACAAAGACAAGAATTAGGGAGCCTTTTGATTCAACACAGAATTACCATGTTGCCTAACGCTTGTAATTATAGGGCAGAGCGGACTGGGGAGGTTTCAGGCATCCTGTTCAATGAGAACCAGGAGATTTGCATGGGCAGCTTGCGTAAGCACTGCAGGAACTACCAGCAAAAACGTCCAAGGAGCCAGTGGGAAAGTACACCTTGCAATTAAAAACCATTAGACAATTACTAAAACAACTGAAGCAGCTCAGTAACTGCTCAGCAGAAATGAGACTCCTGCACCACGTACCAGCAATGCACCATGGAAGAAACCTGAACTGTCCAAGATAAGATTCCAAGTATTTTTCATGATCACGAGACCAATATAACTCTTACAGAATTAAACCAGATGAAGCAGGATGAAGCATTAGCCCAGCCAACCTTCAAACGACCCATGCTGGGGTAAAAGAGTATTTTATTTGACAAATACAACTCATTGTCACTTTCTCAAACTAGCCACCAATTTCCCAAGTAGTTTCACTTGATGAACAAGGAAGCGAGCTTTATTAATAGCCCCATTAATTGCACAGCATGGCACACACCAACGCAAACACTGTGCTGTCCACGCACAAGCAGTGCTGTGGAGAGGCAGATTTTCCCTGAACCCGCAGCAGGGCCTTGCCAGTCAGCCAGAGGCTCTGCTCCCACATTTGCACACGCAGCCCGGGCGGCAGATGTGCCCAGCTCGGGCTTTGCTGCYGCTGTTCTCTCTTCGTGTGCATGACAGCTTGAAAAGGCCCCTGCATGTTCTCACCAGACAATATCTAATGCCAGGGCACAAAACACCGTCAATTCCACCATTGGGGAAGAGTGATTTTACCTGTTCAGCATGTCCCCATACTCAAAAAACAAACCTGCCTCACATGAAAACATCTTGGACACAGACCTGGAGCTTTTGGAATATCGTTGCAGAGCCTGGAAGAGTTAACGGGAAGGGAATCCCAGCTCCCAGCTGACCTCCAACCCCTGCTCATCACTCATTGCCCATTCTCTGTGGGAAACTTGCCTGGCCTGGCAAAGCTTGACTGCTTTTAAGAGCATTTCATTATTTTCATGGGCTTTTTTCCCCTCTTCTTTGAATACATTTTGAAAGTTAAATATACATATACAGAAATATTTTCACTTGATATTCATAGCACTGTTCTACTACTACAAGAGAAGCTCTTTAAAGTACAATAATACCTAATGGATGCAAAACATTATCACTTAACTAAGACAAAGCACACTAAACCTGAATTTAAAAACACAAGTAACTCACTTCTTACTCATCTGTATTTTAAATACATAAAATCTATGAAAGGCAAAATAATCCTTTTTCAAGTACAAAATCCTTTCCAAAAACAAACAAAAGATATCCACAAATATAATTGGTTACCCTGTAAAAACAGAATACAAAATAGCTGCATAAAGCCCAAAATAATCATTCTGGGGATATTAACACTAGCTATAGGGCAAATGTAAATTTAGCTTTTAACCCTTCAATTTTCACAGTTTCTAGGCACCACATACCTTAAATAAAGAGCCTGATGTATTATCTAGCTTTATTTATTTATTTTAGCAATATGAACAAACCAATGGTTTAACCATGACCCACAGCCACACAAGAAGTGAGATTACTAACTAAATATAAAGAGAGAACTTGCATCTCCTAGTTAATATGCAAAGCAACAAGAAAGGCTTCTCCCCCCCACCTTAATCAAGAAACAGACAAGCCAAAGTAAAAATGTTTCAACACCTTTTTTTTTGGCCACTATAACCAAAATAGATAGGTAACTGCTGACAGCAGTCCGTACCCTTCAGTCATTACTGACCTATATAGCAAAGACAAGTCATCCACCTCATGTTACCGCCTTGAATTCTCAGTTTTCAAATGATCATCAAGGGTGAAGCTCTAAGAGGAGCAATGATAACTGTTTATTTTTCAGGAGCTGAAAAGGAGATATCCCATCTGCTTACTTTGATCTTCCACAAACCCCAGCAGCTTTAACAAACTAGAACAGCTACTGATTCCTTCCAAATACAGAGGATGTTCTCCATACTGCTGTACTTACTGTGAAGATAGTCTGCCAGGTCACCACCATTACAGTACTGGAAAGAGAACACAAAGGTCAATCAGCACGAGGGAAAGCAAAGATTTTAAAGGAAATTAACTTATCTAGGACTGCAAGCTACTCAGAATACTGAAGTATAAACAAAYACAGATGTGTCAAAATGTTTATTCAGAAGTTGATAGAAAAAAYCATTCTAGAAGGCTACTCGTCACATTTCCCCTATATGTTAACTCTATTAATGATATATTAGCATACATTAGCTTTTGTATGTGTGCATGCACACACGTGCAAGAGAATCAGAAAACAAAAACAAAGAAGAGAAGTCACCACTTGAAAGACCAGAGGAAAACTGGTTGAGGAAAATCTGAGAGCAGCTATAGATGAATATTGAAATTCCCTATATTATGCTCCATGTCATTAATGAAAGTCAACAAGAATTCAGAGTGAAGACTGCAGTGGAAATAAAAGGTTTATGAGCTTTGCAGCTAATGTGGAGACAGTTTTTCCATGTATCTTGAAGGAGATACTACCTTGTAACATCCATTTTACCCTTGAGATAAGAATTCTGCCTGATTAAACCTATGCCAGCAGGACCTTCTGACCGCAGCATGATCAACGTCCTGCTGGCTTCACCCACACGGTTACAGTTCTCACAGGTACACAGATTAGCAAAAGCACCATAGGTCAGACCCACGAGGAAGCACTACTTGTGTAAGCAGCTGGTCTGCTAAATACAAGTTTAAAAAAGTACTCACCTCCATAACCAAGTAGACAGAGTTTGCCAGTTCCTGGAGGAAAAAAAAAAAACAAAAAAAAACAGTAAGAGAACAACTTCACACCAATTTAAACATGTTATTCCTCTCACAGCACCCATTCAATAAAGCAAATATCTCCTCTTGTGGGTTGGGTCTTCATGTTCCTTTCCAACTCTTGGGATTACCGGGGCATGCAGAGCAGATGCTGCCAAACAATYCCATTCTTAATCATTTCTGTATTTAATGTGGTCCTTTAGAGTAGGCAGACCCAAATGAGCAGCGCCTATCTGAACAATGGGATCTTCCCAGACACCAGTGGGATGGGATCCCAGTGATGGGATCTGCTCTTCAGCCTCCTTGATTGAAAGGTGCCTTAAGGGACCCACCTGCAGTTTGAGGGCTGGCTAATGCTTTCTGGATCATCATGACAATCAACAGACAGAAAAAGAGCCGGGCAGAGTCACTACACAAAATTCTAAATGCTAAAAATCATTCCCCAGCACAAGGCCCCACTCCAGACAACTGCAGGCAGCAGTAACTTGGCTCTGCGGAGAAGCATTGAAAGCGATGGCAGAGCAAACGCTTCCCTGCAGTTCTGCTGCTCCAGGGGAGCCTGTCTTTGCCCACGGACAACTTAGGCACCTGCCCATCCAATTCCTCCTCTAAGCTCGACTAAAATTTCACAAAGTCTCAATATTCACACTACCAGCATTTTAGTTTTGCATCAGCTTCCACTGCCCGCTCGGAGCTGCTTTCATCTGGCTCTGCTCGCAGGACTTGCCACCCACCAAGCCTGCACCTGCCTGCCTTGGTCAGCACCTCCAGCCCTCGTCATCTTCCATCCCTTCTCCTGCACCTAACCTTTCAACTTGATATCCAGGTTTGCAGACGCTAGACCAGACGGTGGGGAAGGGTGGTGAGAGGTCAGGAAGCTGAACTACATGCAGGCTTTAAGACTCGACCTGTAGCTGCAGCAGAACAGGCYACTCGCCCCAAACAGTGCACGCAAATACCTGGCAGCCCAGCAGCTTAACCACAAGTGGTTTCCCTCCTCCAAGACRGTCACCAGATGCAGGGGTGCCAGTTCCTGACTTGCAGCTGTTCTCACTACCAAGCCAAGCTTTTTTTTTTTTTTAAAAAGGTCCCTTTGTTTGCCCAATAAGCAGTTTTCTGCAATACTTCAAGAGCACCTTTGTCAAATGACAAGAATCGCGTTAGACAGGGCCCGTTTTCCAGGCTCCATGTTTACAAGCACAGCTAAGCCAGCCACTTTTACACGTGCTTCAGAGGAAGCAGAGAAACTGTGCTTAAAAGCACTAAGCTAGGGAACCAGCGCAGGCATCACCACAAGCTCCAAACGTGACAAAACACTGGGGGGAAATTCTCAGCAGCACTCAAAGCCCTCCAATTCCTGCTGGTCTCGGCAGAAACAGCAGAAGCAAAGATTTATGAGCTACCCAGGCCTTTCACTTCTCCATGAACTCCAGCCACAGACTTAGCCACGAGGCGCATGGCACAGCTGCCTTGCAAGCAGCTACTCGSGGAAGGACGGAGCAGCCGCAGAGCTCGGCACACAGAGAGTTTCTAAAGGGTTTTGTGCAGCCCACACCAAGTTCATCACTGCCACAGATTTCTCACAGACACTTCTTGTCTAAACACACTGCGGTAACTGTAGCTCAGTACCTCTACCCATTGATACATACAGGGCCAGCAGGGTTTGGGAAAGCATAATATATTATTGCCTTTGCCTAAAATGAAGGGAAAGTTAAGCTTATACAAGCTAAATCCAAAAGGCATTTGTAATAGCTTCTTAGTTATTAGCCAAGACCTACTGTCCACTGTACAGTTTGGCTGTTTTCCCACTTTATTTAAAGCCACTGCAAACAAACATTATAGAGACAGGCATTGATTTTTGGCTGTCAGTGTGTACACATAAGCTTCAAATGCTTTGGTGACTAGGGTTAAATAAGGGCACCAGATGAGGGAGGTGCTCTGCTCTGCTTCCCTAGCAAAAAAGGAACCTTTATACTTAAGGTTTTATCCCACCAGCACATGGAGGGTGGGGACAAGGGCGAAATGCTTGCAAGGCATCTGGAAGGCCCCAAGTAGCTGCCCTGTCTGTCCCCTGGTAACAGTCCTTACTGCTCGTTCAAGTCTTATTAGGCAGCATTCCTCCACCGCTTGCGTTTAATACAAACCTCATGCAAAGGCTGTGTTCAGCATCTGTCATTTCTGGTGAGAACTGAAACCGTGTTCCTTCAGCTTGGAAAAAGGCCCACAGTCAAAATTGGAAGCATGAGTTTCATCCTGGCCACATCATCTACTTTAACAAATACCATAACACAGTAGGAGATCTGTGCAGCAAAACAAGTGCCAGAGRCTCAACACTAACTACATTTCAGGGGGGTTATTTCAGAGTAGCTCTAGACAACTGCCATGCGCCATTAGCAGTTGGAAACACTAGGAGCACTCCTGAGTCCTAATCTCCCTCCGCAGATTCCCCAAAACAAGTATTTGCTGCAAAATTGCCCTATTCCTGCGCCAAAGCATCACCTTGCTAGACACACACACCCAGCACAGCAGCAGCGCATTTACCCACTGTGTTCCCACAGCAAAGCTGCTGGTAGCAGGGCTGAACTTTCACATTTACAGCTTCAGCAGCTCAAGAATTACTCACCGGAAAGAGTCAGAATTTTGCCACCTAAACCAAGAACTTATTTTAAGAAGGCCCTAAAAACAAGCTCTTTTATTTGGAAAAAAAAGTCTTCAGCTAGCAGCTTGATTATAACAGACACAACCGTTCAAGGAAACTTCTGGTTTCATCAGACGGGCTRAAGGACTCCTTTAAAGCTGACTCGACAGCAGAAGCTCTTTCTTTTCCATTTTTATCCTTCCACAATATTTACAATTTGCTCATTAACAAAACAAGGGAAAAAAAGCTTCAAGCAAAACTTYGCAGCCTACCAGCCTCTTTGAAGAGAAAGAAAATGCCCAACCCACTCATTTCCACAGCAGTAAGCAGTGCAATGCTGCAATTTGCTGYATTTCTGCTAAGGCTCATGCCCAAGCAGCACAACAGAGAATTTWTCTAGACCTCTTATACATGCCAGTCCATATAGTGAGGGCTAATTCTGTCACTAAAGGAGCTCTACTATGGGAMTGGCATCAAAGAACCCTAAATCCTTCCCCTATCCCAGTACGCAGCAGTGCCCTGACTGTGCTCCGCAACAGCCCCAAAAGGCCTCTGCCAAAGACATTAAGCTGACAATTAATCAGTCTGGATCACTGCTGGACTTGCAGCGCTTACAGCAGAGGCCCCGGCGATGAAGTTACACTTTAATTGAGTGTAAAAATAGGCAACAGCCTCCACTGTCTACAACTAATGCACATCTGCTAGCAGGGAACAAAGAAATGGAGAAGCTTAATTTAGCAGTACAGAAAGCACCCTAGGAGAGCAGGCTGCTGAAGCGCCTCACTAAGGCACTGCAGGAGGCTGGTACGGATGTTAAGGCCCAGTCTGCCTTAATATTTTTTCTCCGCCCAGACTGGAAGGTGGCATGATCCTCTTCTTGGAAAGTGTGCGCTTAGGTGTGTCCAAAGGGAAATGTCTGGGTGTACCCAGACTTAGTCATCCTCCTACCACAGCTTAAAACGTCTGAGAGAGGAAACTTCCTCAGAAATCCTCCTCCGTCCCAGCCCAGGCTGCACCAGATTTAGAAAGTTGTTAAGGAGGAAAAAGGAGGGAAGAAAAAAAAAMCAAACAAAAAAACCCAAACAGAAAACAAATAACACACCCAGGCAAAGTATAATTTTAATTATACTACAGCTCCAGAACTCTCAGCTGTGCTGCATTTTAACTAATCTGTGTATTAATAGTACAAGAGGGTAAAAAGCTTTTGCAAGCAAGGCTTTGGCCCCACCAAACTGCTCTCTTTTCCAGGAAGCCTGGGATGCAGCAAAAAYGCTTAGAGGCTCCGCTATGATGTCCATGAGCACAGCATGGCTGACCAGGCTCCTGCTGCTTGCAGGGGAGGACTCCTGGACTCAAGTCTTTTGTCAGAATCACTCCAGCCATTTCCCTACACTATCAGCTTTGGGAGCCTCCCTTGGCACCCTGTGTGCTGCTCTGCACCTTGTAGAAAGCACCTGCCACATGCTCCTTACCCCCAGCAGCACCCACAGCAGCTGCCAAGAAGAGATAACTGCTGAGCACAGATGCACTGAACAGGGCTACGGCTCGTCCACTGTACCAACAAAACAGAACACGAAATAAAGCTCCGGGTCTACCCTGAAAGGAGACAAGCTCGGCAGCAGCTAAAAGCCACGGCTTTCTGCTGCGGGCAGCTCTTCGCTGCCCCTCGCCCTGCTCGCYGCAGGAGCACCGCAGCGGGAGGCACTGGCACCTTCCCCTCGGCTGCTCCCCTGTGAAAGGAGCCACAAACACAGGCTGCGACTGCRGGATTTTGCTCAAGAGGATTCAGCTCCTAGGCCAAGGCCATCCCAAAAGGCTGTTAGTTAACACGTTGGTTCTCAAGCTGACCAGGCTTGGGAAACAGAACCTACRACTCCCAAGAGAAGAACGTTTCCAGAAAGTTAAATCTCTTAAGTATTATTTTACTGCCGTTCAGACCTCGGCTTGAGCAGGCTAGCTACTGAAAAGGGAATGGCAAGCCTTCATGCTAAGCAAGGATTATCTCTTGATGCAACTATTTGAACAGAAGGAAGATAAAAGACAAAGCTAACAATCTAAATTTTGGGAGCATCTACCACTGCTTTGCACTGAGCAAAACAGCTCTAAAGCAAATAGTTAAGTGATATTCATGGGAGTTAGGACCCAAAGTGTTTCCAAACCCAGAGAGAGCTTTAAGGCCCAGCTTGTCCAAAAGCAAGTTTTGGGACAGACCTTTGGGAGTCACATCTTGCAGCCTAGGAAGTCCTGTGCCACAGCAAGCTATAAGGAACCAGCTATAAGGAACCAGCAGCCACTTTCCTCTTGTGCAAGGGCTATACCAGAACAGATAAACATGGGGTTG